GATAAATTTTAACAATTTTATGCATTTAACTTACCTGTGAAAGCTGTTCCTCTGCTTCAGACAAAGTTTCTTGCAGTTTGTTATGTTTCTCTTGTACCTGGAATAAAAATAACTGGAATTTAGAAATACTTAAACAAACAGACACATAATCTTTTTTTAAATAACAAAACACACTCGCCTGTTCAAGTTTCTTTTCCTGTACAGCAATCTGTTTCTCAAGTGATGCTACCATTCTTTTGTGAGCCTGTACTCCTCCCATTCGCTCACCTCTGGCTTCCATGTCCTCTTGTAGCTCTGCTTGCTGAATATTGAAGTTTTACACACAAATTAGAAGCTTATCTTTAATAAAATGAGACACATCTTTTACCTGAAAGTCTCACCTGAAAATACAAATGTATAAGAATTTGTACTTTTGTTTCAGTTTCTGGAATTTAAGAGGGCTTTACTCTTTGTGTTTCTAAAACAAACCTGGCTTGATAAATGGGAGCATGTTTTGAAGTGCTTTTTGATCACTTGTTGTAAACTCAACACCAAAGGAAACACAGAGATGAACCGTAAAAAAAAAGGACAAATAAATAAAAGATATCACAAGAAGCTAAGGAACTCATGGTGAAATAAATGGCCTTAAGCTAAGGAATTCACCAACAAACAAGCTGTGTTTGTTTTCAGTTTTACTCTATAGTGTAACTGACTGTAAGGGTGGCATGATCTTTCTGACCCAGTTAGGAGGGGCAGCAAACAGAACCAAAGCAATCCTGATTACTTTTGACTCTCAAATGAAAATTTTAGAATAGTTGAATGCACATACCCTTTCAGCATACTCTGAGGCAATCTGAGAGATCTCTTCTGACTGCAAACCAACGATGGAGCCAACTGCACTTGATGAAAGTGAACCCTAGAAAAATTGAGAGGTGATAGAAAGCAATGATGTGCATGTATATAAAGATTATTATTGTTTAGTTACTGTAAAGCTCTCAAAAGTCTTCCAAGTGGCTTTCAATTTGTATGTAAAAATCTTCATTGTTTACCAACTTTAAAAACTCTCATAAGCCGTCCAAGTGGCTTTCAATTTCCATAGCTTCCAGAGGGATCAAGGGGGAGGGGGAACTCAGTAGACAGAGGAGGTAGGAGGGGGGGTTAGTAGAAATGTAAAATGCTAGATGATGATACATTGAGAGGGGTATTGGTACCTGTTAAAGAGGAGAGTTATTCAATATAAGAGATTTGGACAGTGTTTCCACTCCCTTCTTGTTTCTGAAGTGATGCCTAAATCAGTAATACAAGGCAGTAAAATACCTGTCTAGAAATAAGTTTTACCTTTGCTGGCTGGTATATTTTAATGGCTGCCTTCTTAAAAATATTCTAGACAAAACTTCTTAACAGAGATAGGTGCTCAAGAGAGAAAGGGGATGGCTTATTAAAGAGAAAGATTTTGGAGAGAAGAGGGCTTATAAGGCTTTTAAAGGGGTTTTTACCAATCAATTTTACAGATTTTGAGGGCTGTTGGAAAAACTGTAAGAACAGGAGGGCTTATTAGAGAGAGGGTAGTGAGGAGAGGAAGTATATTTGCAGAGTGTTTACAGTAAGGGGTCAAACCATACCTCCTTCCCCTGCATGACAGACATTCCCTTCAGCAATGATTTCAGACGTTTCTGTAATAAAGAGTGGTTTCAAATTTTTATTTTTCCATAATACTGCTAAACAATTCAGAAAAGTAGAAACATAAGAGGTGATTAGAGGGAAATGCAACACTTAGTGAGATGGCAAGATAACTAAATAGCACAAAAATTGCATAAAAGTTTTATTTTACAGAATTTTCACTGTGTCATGGATCTCCACATTTCCTATGTTGTAGTCTCACTGACCTGCTCAACAACATATTCATCCTCTTCACCAGAGGACACTGGCTGCATTTTTCCTGGCATTGCAGCTCCAGCAGCTTTTTTCTTCTCTGCCTGTTCTTTCTCCTAAGGAATATTAACCAAAAAAAATATAAAATTCTTTTAGAGGAAATCACCACATGATTTTTGTTTGAAAATTCTTTCTTGTGAAGAATAATGCTCTACCAAATTCTAACAACAAGCATGCTTAGCATTGTTAACTGTCAAGATCTGATTGTTGATTCTCCCCTCCAGCTGCTACACATTTTGTTGTAATTTAGTTGTAAGAATTTGGAATTAGATCAAGATAACAAGTTCTACTTGATAAGTTTGAGTATTCTCATAACCTTTATGCTGGATAATAAATGGATATCATTGGGAGAAGTTACAAGGTAATCACTTCTGGGAGCTAAAGGTTAACATAAATGTACATTTTGATGTAATCACTTGCCTTATCTCTCTGTTCCTTGCTGAATCCATATTGCCTGTAATCAAACAGTAAAAAAAAAGGAAATTTACAGTCAAGTTTATTTTATCATAGAACACGGCCATTATATAGATTATTTTTGCAACAAGTAAATTGTTTACTCACCAGCCATACTCCAAAAGTGTCGTCCTGACCTGGGTTTCTTCATCAGTTTGTGCCATGGATTCTGGTTTGCGATATGTTCTGCGTGGTTTGTATGTATCCTAAATAGGAAATAAAATAAGATATAAAAGGTGTTATCTCTAATTGAGAAATGGAGAAATGAATTATCATCTGGAAGCCCTAGATGAACAATGCAAGAAACCAACCTTGAGGCTCCTCATTCCATTTATACACTTTGGCTTCTTTGTATTAAATTCAAGGTCCTAAAGAGAAAAACAGCAAAAAGATGGAAGGAAGCAATTATAAGTATCAACACTCATGTACTGCTTGTTTTAAATATCCAATCAAGGAGTTGGTGTCCCTGTAGACTATACCTGTGGAGTTGAGTGAAATTTGTTGAACTGTGACACAGAAAACTCTCTGATGTAGTCACCCATTTCTTCTTTTCTTTCAATTGCCTTTTTCACCAGCCACTGATGGGGAAAAATAGCACATCAACTTCTTTTTTATGGGCATTTAAGTAGAAATTCCAGTAAGTTTCCAAAGCACGATTCCAGACAAAATTGGATGACACAAATTCCTGTTACCTACTATGTAAAGCCACATGACAAAATTTGAGAAACACAACACCTACTGCTTAAACCTTTTCACTGATAATAATAACAGTTGGCTTCTTGCTATAAGAAAACAAACCTAATAGTCTGCATACATGTAGCAGTGATTGCTAGAAAATATTCATACCTCAACCCAGTTATATAGTTTAAATCCACCTTTATGGGCACCCCTCTAGAAATTTAAGAATTGTTCACCTCTCCCATATATAGTTTACTGTCCCCCCCCCCTCCTCCCCCACTTGCATGGGTCTGGATATTTTTTTTATCTGTTACCTGTATCACTGGGAAAATGTGGATGAAATCCAAGCCTTGGATTTGATGGGGCTCAAGGCGATGAGGACATTTCATGCGTGGAAGTACAGCAACAATCTTCTCAGTCAAGGCTCTGCATAGGTCAACAATAGCATGCAGCTGTTGTAACATGATGGAAAATAACCTTGATTCATAACTAGCAACCATTTCTGGGGACAATCTTTAGGTCATGGTGAAGAGTGGGAAAGTCACTGGTGATGAAAACATTATTATTTATCCCACTTTCCATATGCTGGTTGTCAGCACATTTTCAAGAATAGAAGAGATGAGAAAAAAGAAAACTATCATCTAGGGATGACCTACTGCTCCTATTTGAGGCATGAGAAAATCTCTACCACAAAAGAAGATTAGTTGTGGAAAATAAAATTAATGGCTATTAAACTTACATCTTTTGTCCAATGGTGGAATTTTCTTGAAAAAGAAGATCCACATCTATGTCAAAGTCACAGACTGATATGCACCATGTCATGCCGCCAACAACCTTGGATATAATAACATTGCATTTGATATGTGATGAAGACTAAAAGACACATAGGAAATACCAATAGATGATCAGAGGCACTAGGATGTAGCCCTGCCTCTTATAGCCAACCTTGTCAAATGGTGATAGCCCTTTGATTCTTGCTCTGAAGTATCCTGCAGCCAGGAGGAGTTCCACAGTTTCTGCCATTTTAACATTTTGTTCTTCATCTTCCCTGGTCTCAATCTGTGGTAAAAATTACAGAAAATGCCAAATTTACATTTTGAATGGCTCTGATTGGTCAAATTTTCTAACATTTTATTAGCTCTAATGGATTTTGTTCCTCTGCTTTCCCAGTGGTATATTTTTCATCATGTTTAAGTTGGAAGGGAGGTTATTTATCGTAGCTTGGGCTTCTAAAAAAATTATGCTACTTGTTGATGCTCCGTGATGATATAGAGGTGGTTTGGATGTTTAAGTTGGAAGGGAGGTTATTTATTGTAGCTTGGGCTTCTAAAAAATTATGCTACTTGTTGATGCTCCATGATGATATGGGGGTGGGTGTAATGTGACAAGAGAAGTTAGGACAAGGAAACACACCCCCCTCCCCCTCCCCCCTCCTACTCCTTACTATCGATGAGCGAGTTTGCTCTAGGTACAATTTTACTTCATTCAGCGTAGAGTGTTCCACAATCACAAAAGTGGTACAGGCTTTGGAAAAAAATCTCCATGTGGCCATGGGATCACTGATATGATTGTAAGGTTACCGGTTTTCCTGTTAACTAGAAAGCGGCCGTATTATGAATGGTTCCACCCTGTATCATAACATGCCCAATCATACCGCCTCCATTCACATACGATTTATTTAACATTTTCCGCCGCAAATGGGGGAAAACAGTCGCTGCATCCGTTCGCTGTCATTAGAAAAATTTACATGTTACTATCAAACGAGTGGGCGTTTCACTGACTACAGTGTTTACATCATATTGAAACCGGAAATTCCACGAAACAACACCTACTTTCCTTACCAAAATTCGGTGGGTATTTTCAACAGGATTAAACTGAAAAGTTAATTGGATGAGAACCAACCTTTCTAACTCTTCCTTCTGCATCTACTTCTGGCTGAGAGAACTTCTCGCTAAAGGTTTTAACACCGGCAAATCGGGAAGAATCGCGAGTGGCAGCCGCCATTTTGAAATCTTGCAATGTAACGCGAGCCCGCAATCAGAAGTTTTTAACAGTAACCACGTGACGTCGAATGTGGCTATAAACCGCTCACAAATTTCTATCATCGTAAATACAAACGAAAATATCAACTGGCTTGTTTATAACTTCGGCGATCGACTGCCTTTCTTCCATAGGGTAGATCACGGTGACTTATATGAAAGATTTTGGCTCGGTGTAAGGCTCAATGTCAAGAAGATTTCGCCCTGCATCGCTGGGTTCCCAGAGCGGGATTTACAGCGTTCGTGGATCTGAATTGGCGCGGAGCGGAAACACAACTCCTAACAAAATTCGATGCGTCGTGGAGCTTTTAGATGATTCGGAGTTTGTCATTGATATTGATGTGAGTAGACATATTTTGTCATTTTGTATTTGTAAATGTGATTGAGTTTCGTGTGAGTATAAAGCAAGGCGTTGTTGAATTTGTCGAGCTTCGCATAGTTCTTTTGAAATAGCACTCGACAACTTAGTTATCCCGTGGAGAGAAGGAATATGTCCGTTGTTTAATCGTAATCCGTGCGTGTTCAAGGTAAATTTACGACTCTTTCGAGCTGAGTTGCACACTAGGTTGAGCCTTTTTTTTGAAAATTATATGCTTAATTTCAGTCATGATTCTTAATTATAGTTAATCAATCTCCATTTGGTAAGAACAATTTTGAACCCAGTGTGCATTTTAAATAGTATTTTTATCGCTCTCGAAAAATCGGCTTGCTGGTATTTTTGGATTGTCTTTAATTAACTCGCGACCATTGTACCATTTTCTAGCTTCGCAAATTGGTTTTGGTTTAGTAATCGCTCCATGTGCACTTTGAATAGTTTGTGATTTTTGTGATGACATTCTGGGGAAAAACCACGAAGGCAATCTTCAATGATCAGACATCGTATGAAATTAAGGCGATTCTGATCGAGTTAAATGTGTTTAAAAAATAAACACCAAAATTAGCGAAAATATATGAAGCCATTGGAAAACATCTAACTTTAAATTACGTTTTGATGAGCTTCAAAACTCCGGCGGTGTATTTTAGTTTTGCATTATCTTTTCAAAAATCTCGAAAAATGAAAGAAGCCGGAGAATGTATGCGACAGTTACAAATTACGCATATTTTCACACCTTGGTGTTTTCCTCTAGTAAAAAATTTACAGTGTGAAGAAGCAGAACTCCCATTTTAGAGTTTTGAATTGAATCTCTGTTTCTTCTTTCGAACTTTATTTGCATTTCTTCAATATTTTCCTGGTCTATTTTTGTACACGATTCAGCTGAAAACTGTCGAGAGCAGTAAATCGTCTTACTAGTATCATGTTACAAGTACATTTTATAGTTTGATCGTGTTATACAAATTTTCAGCTCATTTTTAGTATATATCTATTGCATTACACATAAAATAATGAAAAATATACCTTAATTCAATGAAAGCAGTTTTCCATTGACACTGTTTTATATGTGATATATGTTGATGAGAAAAAAATCCTACCAATTATAAATATTTAAAATCTTCAAAAGGATTTACAATTCTATTTGATGGATTCTATATTACGTGAATGGAATTTGAATGAGTCTGAGTCATCATTTTGCTGTTACTGCTTCCTAGGTATTGTTTTATTTTTATGTAAATGAAAGAAAGTTATTAACTTATTTTCAGTTATGCATGATGATGTAATTTTGAACTTTTTATAAACATCATTATCATTTTTCTTTCTTTTACTTTCAGAAGGTATTGTCTGTGTGCTAGGACAGCATCATCGCCTAGATTTTTAAAACAATATAATATTTTTCATAAAATTTGAAGTTGTCTCAAGAACATCACGAAGATTAATTTGGTCATTTAAAAATAAGATATTTTCTGGAACTCGTCTTTGTTCTAGTGAGTTAAATATACAGCATAAATCAGTAATAATGTAAATTTTCTGTTGATATCCTCATACATGTGAGTAGAATTTCTGAGTGGCAATTTCTTACAGCAAGTTTATAAATTAAAACTACAAGTTTCTGTAGAGGTCGTAGGGGGGTCTTGCATTCATTAATATTTATGTAGCAAATGTCTTAAAGCTGATTACTTGTGAAACTTGTGACTTAGCAGTAGTTTGGATATTCTTAACTATTCAAAGATACTCATTCTTTTTTTCCTTTACTTGAATTTTAAACTTCTGATCTCCTTCGACTTCAACACTATTAACAAATTCTATTTTTAGTATTACCATTTATGAAATGTAGATAAATCTTTGATTACCCAACATTCTGATCAAATCTTTTTGATATTTTTAGCATCATAGTATCGCAGGTTTGAAGCTATAAATGTTTGTGATTTGCACATCTAAAAAAATATATAAGATAATTTAGTAATGTGGTTTTTACAGATGTTATTAACTTCTAGATAATTTGTTAATCTGTTAACCACAGACTTCAGGTTGATGTTTCATCAAGATGAGTTTTCTTTTGATATTCCAGGAATGCTTGCATTTTTGTGATACATGTAGCTTTAAAACTTGCAAATATTTACTGTCTTTGCTTTATTTAGAAACATTCCAGGGGTGAAACTTTGCTAGAAGCTGTTTACAAGCATCTTGATTTGTTGGAAAAACATTTCTTTGGTCTTCAATATGTTGCTGATTCTCCCGACAACTTGGTAGGTACCCTCCAATATTTTTTCTGCAAAATTTACTTCATAGTTTCTTTTGCAAACAGTGAAACCTGTATCAAATGTACCCCTTCATTAACAATTTCACTCCCAAGATCTCGTAAGTACTTCTCCTTAATGTCTGCCATACAATTCTTGTAATATCAGTTTTGTTTGTGACTTTTCCATTGACCATCACATCTCCTGTTTCATTTAATAGCAATGGCTTAATTCTGACAAACAAATCAGGAAACAACTGAAACGTAAGTAACAATATTGTAACAATGTACATTAAAAATATTTGGGTCTTCATTACTATATTAGGGGAGTTGTTTCATTTTGAGGTCTTGTCACATAGGAACTTTTATAAGAGGTGGATAAAAAGTGCAGTTAAAATAATTGAATAATTTGTTCATGTGCCAGGATTCTAACAATCACCTTCTAACTGAAGTGTATCAAGTGGATGAAGGCATGTTCATGTAAGGGTGGCATTTTCATTCCCACATCCCCCAGCTAGGTTGCCAGTATTTACCATGGGAATGGTGCTGTTCTAGGACCTGAATATAAACCCTTTACATCCTAACATTAACATTCATATTCTCTATACTCTTATCATCACAATTCCTCTTGTAATGACATGGAGAATTTGTTTGATAATCAGGAGCTCCTTAAATTGGTGATCATTTTCTTCATTCTTGTGACCTTAACATGTGATTGAAGGGTGATATTGAAAGGAGAAATTAAATGCTGATCTTAGGGGTAGCTCCTGGGTATCTCAGGCACTCAGCCTCTTCCAGGCAATGAAATTATCCATACTGATTATTACTTAAATTAATGCTATTTTAATTTTTACTTCACAGGTGGTCCCCCCTACATATTTTATTTTAGAGTGAGATTTTTTGCGTCAGATCCTTCCAAACTTTCTGAGGATGTAACAAGGTATGAAATTTTATAAATTATTTGCTATAAACTTGATGCAATATCAACAATTACAACCTTGTTCTTCCTATTACTGTCACAATTGAAATACTTTAAGTAGTTAATCGTTAATTAAATTGTACATTTGCAGATATCAATTCTATCTTCAAATAAAACGAGACCTTTTGACTGGAAGGTAATTGATGATCATCTAACTCTTAGATAAATATACTACTCTTTTATTATGAAGGATTTCTGATTTACTCTGACACATAACTTGCTTGTTTGTGGGTACAAGACCTTTAACCCTTTACACCCTAACATCAGCATGTATTTTCTCTATACTGCCCTTTCTCCATTCCTTATGGTATTGACAGGGAAGAATTTGTCTATCAATCAAGAGCCACTTAAGTTTGTGATCATTTTCTTTATTCTTGTGACCTAAATGTTGGATTTAGGGGTGATATTGTAAGGAGAAATTTATTACTGATCACACTGAGAGGCTAAAGAGTTAATAGATGAAGTATTTCCTTTTTGCAGATTGCCATGTTTGTACGACACTGCAGCAGAATTAGCTTCCTATGTACTTCAAGGTGAACTAAGTTTATCCTTTTAACTTGAATTTTGTCATCAACTGGTTATGAAAATAAAAATATGCGAAAATGAATGATGTTTTCTTCAGGATGTGTAAACTAGCTTTTCTGAACAGGTTATGAATTCTGCTCCAAGAAATTTCTTTTTGTTCTTCCTTACCACTAATTAATAAATTGCAGTCTTATGCTGAAAATACTGTAACAGCAATATCTTCTGAAGTTGATACATTCAAGGTAGATATTCTCCTAAAACATTCACAATGTGCATGTTCAATTCCAAACTAACTTATGCTTGCGCAATATCCTTACTTATTGACTGGTCAATATTTCAGGTGAACTTGGTGATTATGACCCCAGGGCAATGCATGAAGCATACGTGTCTGAATTCCGTTTTGTACCCGACCAGGTCTGTGAAGTGTTCTCCCTTCCTAATGCTGTACTGATTTTGTAATCAAGCTGTTTTGGTAGTAAACAAGGGCATGTGATGTTGTTCTTTTTCCTGTTTGGCTGCAGTAATAACTTGGATTTTGGTATTTGTGATATGCTAGTGACATGTCTGAAAAAAACAAAAAAACAACAAAAAAAAAACACATAACATGTATGTTTACAGTTATGCATGGGAATGAAAGTTTACAATGTTACCTTGAGACATACAGTGTACTCATATACAGAATATTGCAAATTTAAGATATGGTAATTTAAAAATGCAAATATTTCTTGATGACATGTGTTAAACTTGGCTTAATTTTTTCTCTTTCCAGTCAGAGGATTTTGAAGAGAGGGCAGCAGAATTTCACAAACATCATGGGTAATAAATTTAAGGATTGATGATGGCTTATTTTTTTCTGTCAGTATACTTGAGATTCCATGTACTCAACTTGAATCTTAAAATAATGAATCTTTTTCAGTGGCCAAAGTCCAGCAGATGCAGAATTCAATTTTCTTGAGGTAGCCAAAAATTTGGATCTCTATGGAGTAGACCTTCATTTTGCTAAGGTATGGGAGACAATCTGCTCCTAAATTCTTTGCTCCTATGTGCATGTGCTGTGATCACAAGTTTCCATTTGTTTACTATTGTTGTTGTGTGTGTTTTATTAATGAAAACATACAACCACTTAATGGCTAGTTTGTTTCACTAATTTTGTGATAGTTTGGATTAATTGGTGACAGGACTTTGTGTTGTCCAGTTCTGTCTGTAATCACATGAATGATTAATAAAATTGAACTCCCACCTTGCATTCATCAGATTTTGTTAATCATTTGTATGATTACAGACTGAATTGGACTCCACTCAATCCTATTATCAACACTAATATTGTTAGAGTTTTTGAGTGAAATGTAATGTATGGTCCATACTAATTCTGACAAGAATAACTGTGTTGATGTTAAGGGTCTTTCTTTGTAGGATCATGATGGCCTTGATCTTCACATTGGAATTTCTCCTCTTGGTTTGACTGTCTACCACAACAGATGTAAAATTAATTTCTTCCCATGGTATGTAGAGATTAGATCGTAGAACATCAAGGCTGATATACCATTGTTTTGATAACAGCCAGTTACAAGGGGTCTGCTGCTGCCTGTGAGACCTCTTACCACTGTCTGTTTAGGCTGGGAAAAGGTTCACTTGTTTGGGTGTTGCCTTACTCCCTCCTTTTGGGCACAGTTGCTCATCACACCAGTGGAAGCCACTTATTGAAAAAATTATGAAACCCCTGGATGTATTGTACATGTACGATTCCTAGTAGCTAGTGTAGGATTGATCCTTTTACATGTAACTCATAATCACATCAGTAATTCTATCGCAGTCTGGTTGGAAATTGACAGCTTCTAGCCCTCTTGTGTCTATATATGTACAGCCCCAAAATTTTCTCTGGTGTAAAGATTACAAGATAAACAGTATTCAGACTGAATTGTTTCCAAAAGATCTTCTTCTTGGTTTGAAAATTTCCTGAAAAATGTCCTCCAGGGTTTATACTAACACAATCTGACATTTGAACATTTTGTTAAAATTGCCCTTTCAGTTCTCTTTTTAAATGTTCAGAAGCTGAAAAACTTTGTGATTTGTTTTACTTGCAGGTCAAAGATTGTAAAAGTTTGTTTTAAAAGGAAAAGATTCTTTGTTCAGATACGGCCAGATTGGGTAAGAGTTTTATTTTTTACAAATGTTAGATTACAAGCATCCCCGTTTGGGATTTCTCTCCTGATCTACACTTTTAAGATACACCACAATTTTGGACAGGATTGTTATTTTTAACATGCTTAGTTTTGTTTTCATTTTTGTTTTCAGAATGAATGGACTGATAATGTCATTGGTTTTCACATGCCAACCTACAGAGCATGCAAAACACTTTGGAAAACCTGTGTTGAATATCACACTTTTTATAGGTCAGTTTTTACTCTTCCTGCGTGCTAGATGTGCGTGATTGAGATCAGCACGCGCGAGCGAGAATTCACGCGCGCGCGATGATTAAAGGGGCTTTTTCTCTTGTTTATTACACGCGTGTGTAGTACACTTATGTAATGCTCATGACAGCCCCGCGAACAAGAGCATATTGGGCGCTAGTTTTAGCAAGACTGCATTGTGAAACCATTCAGCAATTTTCACTTGAGTGCTTGATTTAATTTAACATTTTTTTTTTCTTTTCCTTTATAGAACTCATCTTCCAAAACCAACGAACAACAAAGGCTCGCTTGTGAGGATCGGCTCGAAGTACAGATACAGGTAATGTCTGCGCGCTGCAACACCGTGCAAAGATATTTTGTACCATGGTGCATTTGCGGAAAATTATTATATTGTAATTTCCTTGGTTCACTTCGCTGCAGGGGGAAAACAGAATATCAGGCGATAGAAGAAGGTAGAAGACAGCCAAGAACTGAACCTAAGATTGTGAGGTATTTAAATTGTTTTCGTAATGTAGGTCGTTTTTGCATTTTATTCATTGAGGGAAATGTTTTCTAGTTTTAATATTCTTTGTGAGTGAATTCATGTTTAAATTATTACACTGTTTTTTTCTAGGACTCTCAGCAGAAGGTATTCCAAAAGGAATGATGACGGTTAGTTGCACTAGGAATCTGGTTAACTCAACTTAAGTTTTCGAGTTTCTCTACATGCTTTTAAGTCTTGATTTTCGTAATTCTGTCCAGGTTCTCGGCGGAGAATAGACCTTGATCACGTGTTTGACAAAGATGACATGGTATTCAACGACAAGTCTGCTGGTCTGAATTATTCGTCATCTGTCCCGTCAAATTTTGACAAGTGAGTGAGCGAGTGATCTGTTTTTTCCATATTTAGTGGGTCCTGTTACATTCACACAGTTCCGGGCGAATTTTCTAACTATTGAAAAAATTGAGCGGGCGTTTCAGTCACAAGGATTTTCAATCTTTGCGCGTGCTTACTCATGCGCGAATCTCCGGCCGCCAATACGCGGGCTCATCTTTTTATCGCGGGCATCATTGAGATAACCAGCAAAGCCTATGACTTCTTAACGTGATGAATTGTTTAATTTTTCGTTTCTAGAATGAACAACTCTTTAGTTCGAAGCAAGAGCCTTGGAATGGCGGACGCCGAGGGACATATGAATCGACTAAAACCTGCTCTAACGCCAGAATTACATGTAAGAAGGTTTATAGTTAACATAGTCTCCATCGCAGCCGTTAGTTGGGAGTCACGCAACTCTTCTTGAGACAGGAGCTGTAATAGGGCGGGGTAGGGGATTGAGGATGTTGCGTAACATTTCAGAAAACAGCTAAAAAAACTTTGGTGAGGTCCGTCAATTCGCGTTGCTTCTTAGCCTTCTTGCTTTTCTACAGCATGCGGGCAGCGTGCATACTGTTCTGTTTACTACCTGAGTTTCCTTGCTCTCTCTTCTCCGTATCTTTCTCCTTCGCTCAGCGTAAAAGTGTTTCCTCTAACGACTCTTGTGGTTCTGATATGGAAGACGAGGCAGCTGGGTGCAGTTCTCGTCCGGTATGTATGAGAAACAAAATGAAAACAGTAAAAGTAACTATCTGGAATCTTGATCAGGACTATGCTACTTTAAACGCGAACTTCTCATTTGTTGTGTTTCTTCACTTTCCTCTTTCCACAGCATTCATTTCACTTCTAGAGTGTTTCTTCTCTGTTTCTACTTCAAATTTGCATAATATGCAATATTTGTGTTCACTGAACAATGTTCAGTAGTTGCAGCTATGGATGTTCAAAGTTTGAAAATTGAATTCCATGAGGATTTTCTCATTTCCCCATTACTTTGTTTCTTTATCAGAGTACAGTCAAGTTGTTTTTGGGTTTTATGGATCAGACGAGAGAGACAGAAACGAAAGCCTTCTTTGTTCTTCTTCTTTACACGAAAATCCTTCTGTGCGGAAATGTTCATGATATGCTTCTAAGCATTCTTATCCTCTTTAAAATGACGTTCGTATTTCATGCCACTGCACATTTGCCTTGCTTTAAGCGCTTAAATTGTCTTTTCCTTCACTCACAATCCAACTATATCCTCTTGAAATTTTTATCATCCTCCGCCCTGTTTTATTTATTTGTACTTGTGTAGATTCTCTCCTTGCATACAGATTATTATTTTTTACAAACGCTCTTTCTTTTGGGAGGAAATTTTTGTATATCATTCGTAAACCCAGAAATAGCAGCTACATATGTGAATATGTAAATTTCCTCTGGTCCAAAACTAAGTATTCTATCATGATTTTAGCGTGCTGAGCCCGTATTTTTATTTTGTATCTTTTAATGTGATTCTAAATCTATTTACTTCTGCTATTTTTTCGCAGAGAAATGGTTCTGCTAATCAAGAAGGTCTTATTACTATAAGGTAAAGAAGACATGTTTTATTTGGCTGCGTGCGGAAAAATACTTATACATTTGCTCGATTTATTTGTTCGATTTATCTCCTTTTTAATCAAATGTTAATAAAAGAGTTTTTACCTAGCTGCCTGTCTGTAATACGAACTGGTGAAGAAGGCATTGTTAGAGACTCCTGTGCATCCAACTCTTTCTTTTTCAGTCTTGGGAAGGTTTTGAGAGACAGATCAACCTGGCATATATGTCAGTAATTATCGATGGTTCTTTTTCTTTCAGAATGGAACCAGATGAACAAGGACGATTCGGATTTAACGTCCAGGTAAGTTATTACCTTCTCGTGTTAACAGTTTTACACAGACAAATTTTTTCATTGTGATTTTTCTCTTTCGTAGGGTGGAGCTGATATCGATTTACCAGTGATTGTGTCCAAGATCGCACGAGGAATGCCGGTGAGTTTGAAGGCTTTCATTCGTTCTGTTGTACAGGGAATTAATTGTATTTATTACATTACTGTTCCCAGCAGAATGCATATTCATTTGACACACACTTAAGATCACGCTGGACTGTTTTTTTAACTGGGGAAGGCTCGGGCTGAATGTTAACTGGCTTCGTTCCCATGCTGTTAGTTACCAATCCACCAGAACGAACCACATCATGAAGTCGTGTTTGGGATCAAATGAATCAAGTTCAGCGTTTTGCCAGGTTTCAGTGCTGTCATATGAAGTTTTTTTATATCGCGGCTTTTTGTTTTTAGGCGGATATGTGCATGCCGCAGCTACAGGAAGGAGATGAGATTGTCCACATAAATGGGAGAATTGTCAAGGAAATGCCGCATCAAGAAGTACGAAACCTTTCATTACTGATCAGTCTACTGAGTCTGGCTTTTATCTGTGCAATTATACTGTGCTTTTTTTCTCCAATTCGTCTTTCATAAAACCAGAGTAACTGCAGCAGCGTACTCAAAGCGCGAGAAAACTTGAATAGTGATGGTTTAGGGTAGTTCTATCTGCTATGTTGAGAGAGTGACGCAAAATTTATGAACCAATTTGGCGGGGTCACAACTGTCATGCTTTGAAAGCCTTGAAAACTATACTCCCAAAAGGATCGAGCAATTCAAACTATTTTTTTATCATTTTGATGAATAAACTGAGGCCAAACGCGTGCAGATGATGTCTGAAGACTTAAATAACAATAATAATAATTATAATGATAATAATAAAATACCTGTTTACATTTCTATTTTGGTTTGGTTTTAGATTGTGGATCTCATAAGAACAATCAGCAAATCAAACCGACGACTACTGATAATGACGATAAGACCATTCGGTAAGAATATTTTGTGTTTTCCTCTGTATTTATTATGTCACAACAGGTCAAGCCTATCAAGTCTTGTAACCCATCGCTGCTATAGCTTGTTTGGGTTTCTGTAGCTTAAACGACAAGAAGAATGAAGACTGTAACGTGAACTTTTTCCGTTTACTAAAGGTAAATTAATTCCATTCCGTTCCAGTTTTCACGAATTCTGCCCCCTCGCCCGTGCATGCGGTGAGTCCGGAGCAGTTTGCCGCGGCTGAACAGAGACACGAACAAGAAAAAGTTGTTGCCAAACAAGTAAAGGAGAAAGGGGTGGTGAAGGACACCGAAGCTCTTCGTGTTTCTATGGATCAACTCCGAGAGGTAATATATGCTTCAAGCCGGGAGGTAGAAGACTTATGATACACTCTCCAGCTAACCAGAACAAAGGAAAGTTCAGAGTTAAAATATGTTGCGTTCGTCGCGACTCTTTTTTTAATTGTGGTAACGTCCTGGTCACAAATTATGTGCCGCTACAAGCTGTCGCTGGTTATGTCCTTCACAGCTACCTCGCGTGTGGGCAAGCCGTCGGGTTCGTGCCGAAGAGCTAATATTGAGGGCTTGGCTTGCAGGCAATAGCTACCTGCAAATTTCTGCGGCCATGTTGTACCGTGCACCTCTGTTTTTCTACAGTTATGTCACCTTTTATTAATAGAAAATGTGATGCTTTGGTTGTCAAGTGGTAATACACCTGTGTGCTGATACATATATTTTATTGATTGTTTCCTAGAATCTCGAAAGCGGCGATCTGCTCGTGTACTTTCAGGTGAGCAGTGGTATACCGGCCTTTTTTTACCGGCTCCATTGAACCAAGTCTATCCCTGCTTCTGAGCAACTGGAAGTATCCTAACTCTTCTTAGACGAGGTTTTAGTGCTTGGCATGTAGAATACTACACAGCTAATGAGTAATATCTAACTGTCTTTTATATTGCAGGAATTGTACAGAAAAAAGCCTGGAATGTCTATGGAAGAAGCGAGAAAGCCCGAAAACCTTCCACGCAACAGATACAGAGATATTTTACCTTGTGAGAACTTGAGTTTATCTACCGTTCTTCTTTTTTTAATTTTGTTAATGGGCCCCTTTTTGTGTAGTGTTTTGGCAATGAAAAAGTTTCAAATTGTGTTTGAACTCTTTATATGCACAGACGATGATACGCGATGCAAACTTTACAAAGGAAAGAATGACTATATCAACGCTAACTACGTCACGGTGAGTATCACACGTGAACACGTGACCACAGCCAATGAGGAAATCAAGTTGTCGCAGCTCTGTTGGTTGGCTAAACAGCCTTTTCTATGATTACCTTTCAGATGGAAATTCCTGCGAGAGGATTACTTAACAGATACATAGCTGCTCAAGGTCCACTGGAGAAGACGTGCGGGGATTTCTGGCAGGTAATGTGTAAATACATTGTCACTGGATTAGCTTGATGATTATGTTGTCGCTTTTTAACAGTGATATCTGTTCTATGAATTACAGATGGTGTGGGAGCAAGAGGCATCTCTTATTATTATGCTGACTACCACAGTCGAGAGAGGAAGGGTAGGGTTATAGGCTCTCTAATTATCGACTGCATCAGACTGTATAAAATCGAAGAGAAAAATCTTATCTTCGGTAGATTTTGTAGATCATTACTCTCTCACGAGTTTCATGAATGCGATAGATTCCGGATGTATACCAGTTTACCTGGATAGGTGGCTGATTCTTCGGGAACCTTAATGCGGTAAACCCTCCAGTGAGACCACCCCCCTTCCCCTCCCTTGGAGCTCGAAAAATATCCTCATAATGGGTGTCTGGAGTCGCTTATGAGAGGTTACAATGTAGGGTTTTCTGTGGCAGGGATCACATCTTAGTACTCGCTTTAAGAGGTGACTTAGGCCTTCTGGCCTACAAACTGGCTTCCTTTTGGGGCTGGGGCTGGGACTGTTGAATGTTGAATTAAATTCTTTTTGTATTTTCCCCTTTTTGAATTTTTTTCCCAATTTGAATTTATAACAGTGATGTTGAATTCACTTCTTTTTGTATTTTCCCCTTTTTGAATTTTTTTCCCATTTTGAATTTATAACAGTGATGTTGAATTCACTTCTTTTTGTATTTTCCTAGGTGAAGTGTCACCAATATTGGCCGGAAGGAGAGGAAACTCTTACCTTTGGAGATCTAGAAATAGTCTGCACAAAAATCCGCGACTTCTCACCGTCGTATATTTACAGAGAAATGTATGTCACCGAAACGAAGGTAAGTTGGCTTCGAAAAACACGGCACCGGTAATTGGTACCGTCCTCATGACGAGCGGGGCCTTTGGCTTTTTTCGGACGCACTCGAATTGCGGCGGAAAAAAAACCTACTTCTCCGAACGAAAAATACGGCACCGGTAATTGGTACCGTCCTCATGACGAGCGGGGCCTTTGGCTTTTTTCGGACGCACTCGAATTGCTGCGGAAAAAAAACCTACTTCTCCGAACGCGTCTTATGAAGTGTGTTTGGTTGACATTTTGTGGCCTAAAATAAGTTTTTCACTGTGTTGCCTTAGTGTTTTGGGAAAATCATTAACATGATGCTCAAAATAAGTTGTTCGGTTTTTTCTCTGAAAATTGATACCTGTTCTTTCTATTTATAGAGTCTTCGAAGCCGTGTTGTTGTTCAGCTACAATATATTGCCTGGCCGGACCATGGTAGGTAACACTAATATACGACCACCTCACCCCTCCCTAACGAAAACTTTTGCTTAATCTTTTGAAGACTTGTAGAATTAAAACCCATTTGGATTAACTGTCTTTGACGAAGACATTTCTGATTTCATAGCAAAGATAAACTGGTTTTTATTTGTAAGAGGTTGTTATTCATAGCTTCAGAAGATATTAGTACGAAATGCCACAAGTTCTTTGAGTCTTAAATTTCTACGGTTTTCGAAAGGTCAACACAGATAACAGTCAGTTTCGAAAAATATAATATCGGTTTGCAATTAGTAAAATAAGGTTCTGAGCCTTATCTGAAATTAATCCAACATCTGTCATTTAAAGAGATTACACATCCAAAATATTCTTGAAAGGTAAACAACCTAGTGCCATTTTTGTGTCAGTAATCACAATCCAGCTTGAGGAAATCTCTACATCGGAAAATTTTAAAATTCTCTTATTCAAGTGAAATGTACTGTTAGTAGAATATTTGATTTCAAAAATAAATTTGAAACGATTGGCGAGACCTCCTGTAGACCTTTGAAAGGCCTCTTCTCGAGTATACTGAGACATCGCCATTGTTTTAGGTCAGTTTACTGTTCATTTGATCCGCTGTATTCGTCGTAATTTTACGCGAAGCTCTAGCTTGTTTGTGAAGAAAACTTTCCGCCAACCATGTTGCTTGGCCAAGGTTTTGACTTCATCTGTCACACTGTCGCAGTAAGCCAGATAGATCTTTTCCCAGAGCTGGTCGCTTGCACATATCTTTCTTGTAAACTTGCAAACAGCTCCTAAATGAACTATGTCGATGAGGTCAAGATACGAAGCAATATTAACAATTACGCGAGGCGGTAAGCGAATCAGCCAGTCTCCGCAGACTATAGCATGAACGTGCCGAAGTGTTTCCTCACCAAATACACGGCTTATATCGCCTTGTAGAAGTGCATCGTCGTCAAAATCTTCCCAAGGAACTTTCTTTTGGTTTGGCGGTAACCCTCTTTGATCTCTCCGGATAGCAATTCTCCATGTTCGCCATATTACTTCTTCTTCATTCACGACGAGTTGATGAAAATCTTTGCTCGGCGGAGGCGCCTGCCCGACCTTTTCTATGAAAACTTTAACTGTGCCCATTGTTAGTCACCTTAAAGCTGGTTTTGACCTGAATTTTTTCAAACCTAAGTTATATTTCGCTTTAAAATATGAAATGTTTTAAGAAGGTGAAACCAGCTTACATTACAAAATGCGCTCCAGTGGCGATGAAACAGTGATGAAATTGCGCGGGAAATCTCAACCAATTAGAAGTTCTCCTTGTGTTGCGTGTGGAAATCCTCCAGTCCCTGTTTCAAAGAAAGAAATTTTAAACATCATTGGAAAATGTTACTGGTTTTATGTCGCTTTGTTCTGTTTCTTTACTCAAACAATAGCCAAAGCATTGAAACCTGGCTTAAAATGGTTTTGTTTGGAAAGGAATATTTAGCAGTAGGCCACCTGGTCAAACATTTCGACACTTTTCCCTTAGTTTTCCAAAATCTATCTGATTCTACGCTACTTGTAGCCAAAAGTTGTTAAAAAAAAAATCACTGGATGGTTTACCGCTATTATCAGGACCGATGAGATGTAATTTTGAGTTGGAAGTCAGATTTATTTTCCATCAACTATAACGTCTACTCATTTATCTATTTTGGAAACGAAATTTCCTTTTGTTGACAAATTAAAATTTTCGGTAAATTTGTGACACTGTTTGTTAATCAATTTCCAAGGCTTTTTTAAATTTGTTTTGAGGAAGCTTCCCCTCAAAGTTCTTAGTTTGAGTGTTTATTTGTATACCTTGAATTTATGTAGCTTATCATTAATGATGTTGTATCCAAAAGAAACGTCTTCAAAGGTTTATAATTATTCCTAACTTTAATTTTATACTGTTTTTGTGTTCGTTTGTAGATGTTCCGGACGATTCAACAGATTTTCTGGAGTTTATTCACATTGTTCGTCATTACCGGGAAGGAACAAACACTCCGACTGTGTTACATTGCAGGTAAGCAAACAACTTACACAAAATGTTGAAATAAAGCTGAAGAAACTGAGAATTTCTCTCAAAAGGAATCGCTTTGATATAGTTTGATTTTGAAGCTTACGATTTCTGCGGCAAAAGACTTAAAAAAAACATAATTATGCAGTCAAATCTGAACATCATTTCACCATCTGCTGAAATCTAAGAGATTCTATTTCTCCATCAAAAATTTGAGAGATGGTGTTAGCGAGTGTAATCTCACAGCTGAATCTAAGCATCTTCACGTTAACCAAGTTGGCGTGACATTTAGGCTAACTGTCACATTACTTCATGTTTTGAGTGTGTGAAGTACCTTTCTTTTCTTCTCCCTTTTAAGTGCGGGTGTTGGTCGAACAGGTGTTCTTATCTTTATGGAGTCAGCATTCAACATGATTGAAAGTGCAGAACCCATTTATCCATTAGAAATCGTTCGAAAGATGAGGGATCAAAGATGTTCACTCATACAAACTCCGGTAAGTTGAGATTGCGTGACAGTATTGAAAAGTTTTCATCATTACAGGGCCACTGAACCAAAATTAACCAATCACATCATAGCAAACGAACAATTTTACCGAATAAATTGAGTTGAGCCAATCTGTGCCAAGGACCAAAGCAAGCATACATAGCGTCGAATTTCGATGTAACTTTTCGCTCGTTTCTAGTAACCTGATTGGTCAGGTTTGTGCAAGTGCTGCAGGTAACAGTGTTTGGACTGTAACAACAGAATTTTGATTGCGGGTCGTTCTGAATCTTCGTTGTTTACTAATTCTTAGTCCTGTCCCTTGTTTTTCTTTAGGGACAATTTATTTTTGTCCTGGAGGCACTGCTAAAAGCTTACGACGGTGAGTGTTACTTCTGATAGACTTAAATGAAAGTCATAATCTTGCGTTACGCTTGATGTTATGGCATGCCTCACGAAATTGCGTGAAACGTTCATTGAATAAATATACCTAATCGTTAGCCAGAGTTTTCCTTGATTATTGAATTTTTTTCTTTCTATAGAGGAGATGGTAAAACCGTTATAAGTGCCAAGCACTAGAACAGAATCTCTCGCCAGTGAAACTCCTCGGCAAGGTTGTACAGCTCGGTGGCACAACATTGAAGTTTAACCTGAGAAAATTCACGGTGTAGGACTAAGCCGACCTTTGAAGAAATCAGAGGGATGTTGAGATTAAAAAAAAATGAATTGGGGTACAGATAAGAGTCACCTTCAATATTTTTGGACTCGAGCTAGAGTAGGAAAAGAAAAGAAAAGCTTTCACACCAAAGCTGTTTAAAAGGTTTTGTTAAACATTTTTAACCATCCACTTAGTAGGAAAAATCAAGAATAATTTTCATTCAATGAAAACCAGTTTAACAAAACATGTTTTGCTGGTGTGAATGGGGTATAAGTCAAACGCGAAAGAAAAACTTTCTCTTGTTGCTCTGACTTTTGCTTGTTTTTTTTTATTCGACATAACTTTCTATTTGACTTTAACTTTTAAGCATAACAAACATTGACTTCATAACTTTGAGCTACTTTCTAGAGCTCCCATCCAAATTAATCGTCGTGTCCTGTGTCAAAGGTCTGCGTGACAGTGCAAATTTTCTAAAATACGTACGGCAATCTTTGCATTGTAGCAACTTTTACCCCACGCGTTTTGTTCTTAGCAATTTATTTATACATTTTTCTCCCATCCATCCCATCGTGATGTAATTATTAAACCTGTGAGAGTGATTCATCTTCAATTTCAGTGATTACGAATTCGCTTTTAGTTGACTGGTTGTTGTATTTTCAGAGCCAGAAAAATGTAGCTTGCCAAATTTTGTGATTCTTGTAGAGGTTAACGTCAAAGCCTGTTCGCTTTTTTTTTTAAAACACAAATTGAATTCCACATTTCTTGTTTTAAATGGGAACTTTTAGGTCTAGAATACTCATTATGTCATTAGATGACTACAAGATATGGAACCATCGCCATGGTAGTAGTACTTAAAATGAATTGTAAAGAAATATGCAAGAGCAATGTAGTTTTTATCTCCGCTGCTTAAAATTTTATGTGAAATTACCGCGTGATTCAAGGAGAAACTCAGCTTTCTGAAAACTGTTTTCAGATGTGCTTAAAATTCGCTTAAGATCGCTGCCATTTGATCTTTCTTGGTAACCTGGCCTCTTTTTTGTGACGTAACAATGTTTTACTCTTGGTTTTTCCAACTCACTTTGATCTAGTTTTGAACAATTGGGAGCTTAACAATAAAGGCATCAGTCATTAGTAACCAAATTAACGCGGAGATGAAAATTATATGGTTTCTTAAGCTCTAACTTGCATAAGTTGAATTGACAGTTATATGGCATTCCTTCAGCTAATTGAAAGGTTCCAGTTGGTTTTCTGAACTCAACGGCGTGTTCAGTTAACTTTGCATAACTTTTCAGAGATATGTGCTTTTCAAGTGAAGACTATTTATACACGTTAAAAAGTATTTTATAAAGAGTAATATATAGTTGAACAAGATGAAGAAAAGTCGCTCTTTACTTCCGGTAGCGATAACCGGAAGTGAAGCGATAACTGTCCGCTTAGAATTTATTATCGAAATACTACGCACTTTTAATCTCTGCTGTGGTGATCAAGTAAATTCGTTGAATTATCTTGAATGTATGCAGCGAAAAAAATCGCGATTGAATAGTTTGAAGCTTTAAATATAATATGCTCTATTTTTATCACCATATTTATTGCTTTTACCGTACATACCTGTGTTGTCCAACTATGATCAATTTTTGTTTGTGGAAATGTCACATCTAATGAAGGTTAAGGCTCTCTTTCAAGTAGATTTGAAAGTAAAATAATTTTTAATCATGCAATGAGTCTGTTGACCCACTAGTATGACCGATGCTCCTGTTGATATGGTGGAGGTGGGTAAGTTTTAGGGACTGAAGTGATGGGGGGTGTCCAGGAGCGCCTGCCTCCAGATCAGGCTTTTGGGATTTTCCTTGCTACTTTTCTTAAACGGAAGTACTTCAAACGATTGGATCACATATTACCACTCAACTTGAAGTATTTGATAGTTACTTACCTTGAAACATTTCTAAGCTTATTTAGGCTTCAGTATGAAAAAAGTGTGGAACTACCATACCCCCCCCCCCACCCTTCACGGCAATTTCTTTGATGCCTTCCCATTCAAAAGCGCTCACAGTCGGGTTATTTGATTCGTTTGTTTTTATTCACTTAATTGTCTATTTATGCTCGTTTCAAATTTGTACATGCTTTCGAGATTTACAAACTTTCATAAAGTCAACACTTTGAAGTACAACTTAAACGTAGTAACGTCTGTATATACACCAACGAAGAAGCCTTTAAACTCCAGAAACAATTGTCATTTCCTCCGTATCACGGTCGTTCGTTGTCACAGTCACGCATTATCACGCCAACACTTCTATACTGTGATCGACCGTACTTACACATTTTAAGGGCAGATGGTGTGACTTATAATTATTATATTCTTCATTACTTTCATCAGACTACTGGAATTATTGTAAAATACTTGCTATTGAGCTACATAGTAGCAAAATTTCCAAAACTTTTTAACGCAAAAATCGTTAACTTGACATACCAATTTGCAGTATACAATGCGCAACTTAATGTGACTATGGACGAGACAACACGATCTTAAACGTGTAGACGACACTTGGTTCGCTGCAAGTTTCGCTTTTCGATTGGGTGTCGTAAACCAAAACTAAAGTTATCACAACGGCCAATCAGAAGGAAGATAATTACCCTGAACATCCAATGAGAACTCGGAGTAAAAACCAACCAAACTGCCTTAAGCTGGGAAACTGAAGCGACCGAGACGTGATGGATTTAGTTTTGCATCTGATTGGTTTAGAGAATGGCGCGAGTTTTCTGGACCAATCACAGAGAAAAGTGAGGTAAAACCAACGAAATCCTGGATTACTTTGGACACTCTAAAAGCTAAAAGCTAAAACGCCCCAATTACGCTCGTTAACACACATCACTCTTTGGATGGGATACCTGCTTTTATATTACGAACTATTCTTTATTCTATGGGAACAATGAAATGCAACCGCTGTTGATTACGGAGTTCATTTTGGGAATGAAGTGAAAGCGAACTTTTCTCACCTGTGTTAGTTCACAGGCAGTTTTCAACTTTTGAATCGCCGAAATGGCGATGCTTAATCTGACAATTACTCGTTCATAAATATTTTGTCATGGTTATGAAATATCTCTTTGAAGACTGGGAGAACTCAACTCAACTCAACTGATTTCAACAGTAATTCTCTTGTACTTCATAGCGCACGTTCCAAGGTTTTTACTATACAGCTGTCAGTCATACTCGCTGAGGAGAAGTCACATAACCGGCAATGAGGTGATGTCAATAATCTCGTCCAACTTCCTTCGGTCTCCTCTGAAAGTATGATATATCTTTTTACAACAAATTTTTGTGGCCTAACGGATCAGTCTGTTTCTAATGATGTTCAGATGCTTGGAACACAACCGAACTGTAACATACTTTAGGATTTAATCGTTCGTGTCAACAACGTGATTATTTTTGTAACGATTAACGGAAAGAGGTGGCGACGCCCTCCTAAACCTAAATTCTCGTGTGGTGAGTTCCTCGCTTATAAAAAATTTCTAACGATGCAAGAATCAAACCAGTGAAGGTGTGGAAGGCTCAACAATAGCTACCACATGGTCAAACTGATTTCACCGTATTGTGAGTCCCAGCGATAGAATGCCCGATCCATCCCTTTGCTGATCTGCAGCAGACATCTCCATTTTCCGTGATGGCTGAGCGCTGTGGTGACATGTGTAAAAGTTTCCGACTCCAATCGATTCTCCTCTTTGAACTTGTAGATTTTGTGGCCAGTTTCGTTTGGAAGGTACGCCATTCGTCGGCGGTGAGCGCAACGGAGACGGTAAAACAAGGTTACAGAATCGTCATTCACCCAGTCTCCTGTAAGTGGAAGAGGAAAAAGGTCGGAAAGATAATTAGCTCGACATTCAAGCTCTTAGTGGCTCAATGGTAGAGCATCGGAGCGAAAATCCCTTGTACTCGTCTTTTAGACTTTTTAATCTCTATTCAGAAGCATAAATGGTTCCTGGCAAACTTTAAAACTTGTACAACATCTCAGTTCTGAATGAGTCGTAATTCAAAGACAGAAACTTACCACCAATATGGAGAACATAGGTGACAGGTACCACAACTTTGACTTGAAATTCCCCGTATGCTGAACTGACATCCTGAAACCCTGTCATGGCCTTCTCTGAGATCCAGTGGCCTGAGTTTACGTAAAAGACTTGTGTTGGGACATTTCTTTCACATGTGCATACCTTGAGGATTCGTTCAGACCCAGGGGGCCCCGGTTCACCAGGGCTTCCAGAATCCCCCTTCTCGCCTGTAGGCCCTTGGGGACCCATCGGGCCTCTCATTCCTCTTGGTCCTTCCTTACCCCTCCAACCGGGGATGCCGTCGGTACCATTGATACCCGGTTCTCCAGGTGCTCCTTTTCTCCCCCGCCGGCCCATTAATCCTGATTCTCCCTTTTCGCCTTTGCTCCCTGGGATTCCGTTTAGCCCGTTCCTACCGGGAGGTCCGTTTATTCCTTGGGGCCCAGGGTGTCCGGGAATTCCTGAAATGAAGGAAATTGCAACATTTATCACAACGCAAGTCGAAGGAAAAGTGTGCCCCAGAATCTCAAAGTATATCGAACATTTTAGCTTTTTTACCCTTTACGGTGGCCAATTTACGTTTTCAACTCAGTTGTTAACACTAAAATTACCTATTTTACTAGTTACTTCGTTTTTAGATTCGAAAGAGTAACATGACCATTCGATAACTGATTTCAAATACGCTAAGAATTGTGCATCGCCATTTGTTTTGGTTTGCAACCTGGCTGTTTCCCTGTAAAAAGTGGCTCGATTACTTTTTGCTAAACCGAAATACGGTGAGTTGACTTTTAAATACACTCGAGATAACAATCACATGCCTTTAAAGCAAACCCCCCAGTCTCGTTTGAGCATGTTTAAGTGCCCTATAATGAAACTAACTATAGAAACTGTAAGAAATGCAACTAAAGGGAAGGGGTACGGAACGTCGCTGATCGCTCAGCAAGCGACATAAACCCAGAACAAAACGGAAATGTTGCTCAAGTTTTGTTCTCGATGCCTTTTTCGCCGTATGGTTTGCTTCACATGTTATTGCGAGACAACTTAAGTTTCTTTAAGAAACAGCATCAAATTTTATTGCGTCAAACTCAGATTTTGCAGATTTCATGTTGGAGGAGTTTCAGTTCCATATCAAGCAACCGCCACCTGCATCATGTATGTTAGTTTAAAGTATCACACGCCGGATGTCGGCTTGTTTAACTTTTAACTTAGGTGTAAACTTCGTTGCATTACTGATTAAGTTTCGAAATAGGAGGAGCTAAGAGACACGGCCAAACCTGACGATATCAACTTGCTTCCTTTAGTTCTTCTAAACTAAATAGCCGATATTGGTCTGCGCGGTTTTTGGCGTGAGGTCTTTACTTCTAAGTTTAACTGAGCAATGGATCTATTCTATTCGAGTACGTGAGAACATGTGTTTTTCAAATTTGAGAGTTAATTATGCAAAGATTGGAAGATAAGGAAATATTAAATCATTTATTTCGCGCAAATTTGATCTCTATATCAATCTGCTCCTTATTTTGACTGAACACTAAGTGATTTGACCATTCTTAAATTGATGGATGCACTTAAAGCTCATTGCAAATAGTAATTAGAACAGTTCCACTGCATAAATACTAAGGAACATGACAGGATGATATATTGTTAAAAAAAACCGCAGATTTTGATGAGTTTTGCCTCAAGCCATGGCATGAGCAACGATTGCCCTTGTGCAAACAGAACCTATCCTTATAAAATGAAATTATTATTTTTAAAATGCTGCACACAATGACACTTACAGAAAGTAAACAAGGCCTAAGGGTGTGATAATCACACAGAGCAGAGACACTAAACCAGAAAAAACATTTTGCCTAAGGGTTGTATCCTACTGGCGGGTAAATTGTTTCGTAGCTTCCCGCTAATTTTCCACCGAATAGCAAAGACCTATGAAAGCATGAAATAGCTTTGTACGTAAGCCTATAGACTTTTTGCATTTTTACGAATCATGTGAAACTCAGATAAATAACAAAACAAAACGGGAAAAAATGGCGGAACCAAGTAAAAAATCATGTTTGCTTTGCAAGGGGTAACTTTTTTAAACTGTGGTGCTGAGAAGGTGGGGGGTATTAAAAGATGTCTTGGTTTAATCAACTTTGAAATAAAATTAGCCATATTAAGATGAGCTGTTTGTATTGCTAGGTACTTAATCCAAGTAGAAGAGAAAATTGAAACATTTCATGAGCAATATATATCTGATATAGAGACGAGATAATCAGTTAAAAGGACACGGAATATTGTGTGAGGAGGAAAAATCGATCAGTAGGTGATAAACCTGAAGGAAGCAAATCCGAAAAATGTTTTTGTTAATCTGTTGAGGCACGCTTGACCCTAAAAAAAAGGTCCAATGTTTGTTGAATGTTAGCATGGGGTTATCACGTTCACCAAAAGTTCCTGAATTGGGTTTAAGTCCTTAGATGTACTACTCAAATTAGAGCGCTTTTCGATTGAGTGTCTTAAGGCCAAAACCAAACTTATTCCAACGGCAAAAGCAAACCGTCTAAAGCGCAGTAAAACGCACGTGACCAAATCGTGATTGGTGTCAGTTTTGAGTCTAATTAGTTGAGAGCGTGGCACGAGTTTTCTTGACCACGAATCACAGAGTAAAAGTAAAACCAATGAGATCCCGGATTACCTTCGACACTAAATTGAAAATTGCTCTAAGAGGAGTGATCACCCCTTCAGAGAATTTCAAATTTTGGTTCGGAGTGGAAAATCTCACTTTGGGAATTCACTTTCAGTCTATAATCAAGAAATTCCCTCAAGTAAGTGAAATTCCTTCATTAGAACTTACCGTTCCTACCAGGAGTTCCCGGAATTCCCTGTAAAAAAGAATAAAAAAGGATTTGGTTTAGAATGGGGATAGTTAAAACATAGAAATGATTGTCATAATCAGCTTCTTACCTAAGTAACAAATTGATTCTTGGTCTTTTTCTGAGTTGGGGGATAAGGGGGGGGGAGACTCTTCACAATTTTTAGTGAGGAAGTACCGCTCGGTTCTTCAAATCCGGGACCCCTTTTCAAAATCGGGATCGTTTTTTCATTCATGATCAAGATGGGAACAGTTATGAAATTCAAGCAGTTACGACATCATGAAATATGAAATAAGAATGGACTTGATTTTGAACTAGGACCTGTGCCGTCATTCCTAACAATTAGATGAAAACACTTCTTTGGGCCCATTAAGTTTTCGGAACTTTCTACCAACGAGCCCTAGACAGTTGCCGTCTACACCCATTTTTCGATCCGTTGAACTTGATCTTTAAGCGGCAAAATCAATTGTCACTTAAGTGCAGAAGTAGCGAATTGGTGCACGAAAGACTCAACCCAAATTTTTCCAAATGTTATCATTTATTTGACATATGCTCCTTTAGTTATCTCAAGAAGCATGTTTCATTTGAGACCTCCATGTTCTATATCTATACCGGTTTTCAATCAAAAACGGCTAAAAAAGGTAAACTATCTTATTCTTTGCGTAGGACGACACATGCCGTTTTGCTAAAAAATAGGGGTACCCTCAAAGAACAGGACATTTTCACAAGGACAGTTCTGGTATTACAGTTATTTTTAAGATAAAGTAGTGGAATTAATAATCTTGACAACAATCTGCGCGCGACAATTCTTTTTAAGTTATAACGCGAACGTGCATCCAAATTGTTGCGTCATCATTACCTGGGATACTGGAAACAAAAATAAATGGGATCGTACTGAGAAAAGATCTTGGCTTTAAAAGTTTTAACGGACGTGGAAATCTGGCAGGTGAGTTAAAATGTCTTAATGAGTTTTACCGTGAAGGAAAACTTACATTTCGTTATTATCATCAACACAAAAATTCGAACTCGAAGAAGTTTGGCTTCGACATGCCAACTTTCAAAGCTCTATAGTCTTCATTTCAGTTGAAATTTTACGGTGAGATTTTTTTGGTAGTTCTATACGCGTATTTTTCGCTCTATTTGATGTTAACCTTAGGCTTAATGCTCTAAAATGCTTTGAATGTCTTACGAAGGTAAATAGTTTTAAAACTAGACAAACCTTGCTCCAGAATTCTGGAAACAAGTTGTTTGGTGTTTTAAGTTGTAAGCACTGCCAAGTGGGGTCTCAAATGACGCAGAATTTTCAAATTTTCTGAAGTTGGATTATTTTCTCACTGCATGAGCTAAAAATAATTCTTGATTACAACAGTTAAACAGTTTGTCAGCAGGGACAAAATTTCGTCAGCGTTCCTTCCCAGTCTCCTCCCCCTGATCTTCCCATCACCAGCCCCCGACCCATCCTCCTTGCTTAGAATTTTTAAACCTTTACGGATGGCTACGTCATAAAAGATTTGCGCTAAGAATACAGCTTTCTATTGATTGTCACGTATTTCTTCGATAACTTCTTTTCATTTGGCTTCTTAAACGTCCAGACATGAACATGTTAAAGGAAAAATCGACGCTCATGTCGACACAACCGACAGCAAAACTCAAACAAGTGTTTCTAATGACGCATATGCGCCCAATTTCTGTTGAATTTAACCCACACTGAGTTCTCGTGTTTATTTGCATTCATTTATAAACAAAAAAAGAAAGAAATCAACTCTTTTTTGCTGTCGATATAACCTTCACCTTTTACGATATCTAAAATGAAACAATTGCCTTAGTTTGTTGCAGTCTCAACTCTCTGGTATTTTATTCAGAGCTTCCCTTGGGAAACGTTCGACGCCATTTTAAGACGAATGAAAAACTACAGTTCGAGCAAGCAGACTTAGAACACAATGTCTAACCGCAATTGTATGCACTCGAAGAAAACAAGGAGTTATATGAATTGGACTAGTTCTTTGACTTATAATAAATCACTCTAGAGCTATTGTCACGGCTTTGCAATGTGTGGGTGTATTTGGTGCCGAATGTACGTTTAGTACGAGGAGTAACATCCACTGCGGTGGCACTTTTCTGATCCGCTGGAAACAATGTGTTTCCTTTCGGCTTCGTTCAAGCCACGTTACTTCTATTCACGAGAGAGGGCGGAAATGTTTAGCGAGATAGCAGATGGGTTGCGTAAGGTTCTTATCAAAGGCAAAGGAAACCGCGTCTCCACTTACAATAAACTTTATGGTTCGTTCGCTTTTACTGATAAGATTTAATTGTAGATTTACTCCTTCGAGATGTTAACATAGGAAACGAAGATTCTTCGCTCACGCACAAGCTATTTCTTACTGATCAGATAATTTCGTATCATTGATAAATCCCATTTCGTTGATAAGGTGCTAAGAGGCATATTGTCAAACGGAGACTCCTCAACACACTGCGAACCTAATTTCACGGCCCTTACGCTGCAACAAATTTCCAACCTGAACAAACATTTAAACGCTCTCGCATCTTGGTGTGTTTTGGAGCTGTTCACATGTAAACAAGAATCACAAAGCTCATTTACTGACTGAACAAATTAACACGTTCTTATTGTTTCTACCCAGCTGACAAGTTATTATCAAAAAGACCGCTCTCGCAAACATTGTACACTCACTCAACTAAAAGCGACTGAAGTATTTCCCTGGATAAAGTTTGCTTGACAGTAAGGCAGCTCGAAATTTCACAAACTGGAGTGTATATTTACTTTCAGTGAGACTGTTCAGAATAAAGATCATTTCGACATTTCTTCGTTCGTCACTAACCAAGGCGATATTGTATTAGAAAAAACACCGCAAATACAATTCCTTCAGCTGTTTGAAACTACTAGCAAAACTTTCCTATATTTCAATTTTGAACAACAGTGTTTGCTCGGTAAAACGGCCAACCAACTTTGCAGCAGGTTTTGAATACAGCGCTGACCAAAAACTGCCTACGAAATGAAGACCGCGGCAAGAACATTAATTTTCCTTTGAACATCAGTGATCCGGTTTTGGACGAAAATAAGTAGAAGGTCAAGGGTTTGTGTTATTCTATATTAGATGCATGCTATTGAGTAAAAGTGGATTGTCTCACAGCCAACTAAAAAGAGAGCGCAAACGTATCATGGCATATTCACAAAGAACCGAGAACCAACTCTACGAAGTTTCTTCTTCTACTGCGGCTCGACTTGTGCGCACGACTTTTGGAAAATAATACTTCTTTGTTTACAAAGCTGAATTTTAAGCAGTCCCGCTAGGTTTGAATGAGAGAGTACTAACAAATGTTTTTACAACTTACACAACATGTTACGCTCTTGCAGCGTGAAATGTCTTTCCCATTTCCCGTGGAGTTCGTCTCTTGGCCTAAGCTAAAAGAAAGAAATATGGCGGTTTAACATGGTAAAAACAGCGACGCCAGTTAGTTTTGCGTCGAACAGAACTTTTTTGTTCTTCCTATGTTCCGTACACTATAATTATAGTAGCTTAAAAGCGCAAGTTTCCTAGAACTACGCAGTAAATAATACACCATCATGAAGTTTCGCAACGACAAAACTAAGAATTTACCTTGAAGTTGGAAGTCGAGAGCACGTCATCGCCACAAGAAATAACATTAGCTCGCAGTAACTGAGAGTAGCGGCCATCCTCATAGAATATGTAGTGTTAGCGTACACTTCACTCAGCGAGTGTCTGAAATTAATTCAGAATTTGCGTTGAAGCTCAGAGCCTTATTACCGTAATAAATTCACTCCAAAAATCACCGGTGCAGAACCGGTAGGCCTATAAACAGCCGTGTACGACGAACAATACAAAATTAAATTTCTAAGACATTGGGAGTGCAATTAGTTTGCAGGAGTTGCCCTTGGCCCAAGAGTTCACGGCGCACAAAGCGAATATTTACCTTTCGGATTCACGATCACTGTAAAGAATTTAACAAAGCCTCAAACCTTTCAACAAACTTGTGGAGAGTTAAAGTGGAGAATTTGACCAATGACATGCAGTTCGTACATGCTTCTAGCAGGCACAATACTAAAAAGTTTCCATCCGTTGTTACCGAAATGGTTGTTTTAATTTTCCTCACGAAACATGCTAAGTCATAAGCCCGCAAAGTAACCCATTTTCATGCATTGTGATCCGCAAATGAATGAATTTGCAATTATTATGCACACTTGAGTGACAAACATCGTGTGAACGGAGCCTTTCTCTTCGTGTGCACTGGGCAGGTTTTGCGTGTTCGTGTGATTTGCCCACGTACTTACCTCAAACACTTAATACCTGTTAACTACACGAAACCTCTTCAGTGGTGATAAAAATATAATCCGATTTAGTGGCTACATTTGATCTAAAATTAGCACGTAAATTATTCAATTCTGTTTAACCCAGAGCAAAATTGTGAAGAAATTTACAACTCGATCTTCTTGAGTGATTGTAGAGCTTAAAACTGATCAGAATGGTAGTTTCATCGTACTTAGGTATACCATGTATTAATATCAGCATCAGATACAAGACTTCTTTGGATATAATTAATGTGATGGGGCATAAAACTTAACTTAAAACACCATTTAGGGTAAACAGTTCTTGGAAATCTAAACTTATTAATTAAACTACAATCATTTTAGGCAAAATTCTTGTTGTTCGTGATGATTCGGTATGTAATTACGATGTCTACGTAAGATTAAGTTACGGTTATTAAATTTTCAAACAAAAAAAGCTCGATTAGTGATGTAAAAGCTTTAATACGTCATTAAAAGCAAATCAAAAAAACCAATTTGTATTTAAGCGCCTTCGTCAACCGCATGGTCTTAGGTCACTTTGTTCAACGTGAAAAAAATGCATTAAATTCCGTGTGGTTTACATGCAAGACCAACCTCTTTGAAACAGTTTTTGCCGACTTATACCTTCGGTGTAAAGCACATATGATGTGTTATTTTGAAGAGCCTCACTTCCGCTAATGGAAACGAAAAGCGAAAGCTATTTCACAGCAGGTGGTATCACTCAAGTAAATTTTTTTCGGCGGAAGTTGTTGTTGAATAAAAAAAAAATGCACCATTTCCGTGTTTTAAAACTGCTGAATGAATATTCCACTGAGAAAATTTGGAATACTAATGTAGCAGCTTTAAGGCGTTGAATGAATTAAGGGAAAACAGCAAGCTGTCAACTTTTCTTATAGATTTGTGATTATTTTCTGAAAAGGTCATTACAAAATTCTTATTTGTGGAAATTGTGTGTCAGCGGCACGAGATGTCGTGCAGTGGAAGGTTTTTCCGTTTTTTGAGCAAATTAAGATGATTGGGTAAATTTACCGTCGTAACAAGCAGTTCTTCAACAAGATTGAAATACGAGGTAATGCCTAGGAGCTAGATTTCGATGAATCTTCTGGGATATATTCGCTTTCGCTCGACCTTCTTTCTATGGTCTTTGATACTGAGTAGAATAATACAGAGAGAGAGGCGACATGATTCCGAGGGCTACTGGTCTATTGGTCAACCCTCTTGTTTTTTTATGCTTTGTGTTTTTCAAAACAAGGAAGACTTTAAAATGGGAAAGAAGAGCCAGATTTGGTTGTTTTTGATGCCAGTTCTCCTCGACTGTCCAGTGTGACTAAAAAAACACTTGATTTAAATCACCAAGGGAGACTGCGCTATGACAAAATAGAGAAATAAGTAAATAAATATGGCAGAAACCCATTCTCTTTCTTAACATGCAGAATGAATGCGCAGAATTGGAATCATGCAAGTCAGATATTTATATGATAAAGGTTTTTGCCTCGAAGACATAGAGTCAGTTTGATAATTTTCCAAGAGTTGCATGTCAAAAAAAAGTTCCTGATCTTGTTTTCTGTAAAAAGGGTAATTGTACCATGACATATTGCTCATCTAGACGTGTTTCTTGATTTGGTAGTTTTTGGTAAAAATGTACATGTCTGAAAGCTAAAAGGCTTTACCTCTAACAAAACTTATTAGCAGCGATATTTCTATCTGGTTCGAGCGTAACAGCTCACTGAAGTATTTCCAAATTTATTTTGTGTTTGTGTGTTTTTTTTAATTTTTGTTGAGAATATAAAGGTTTACTACATTAAAACGGCGCCAGCACCGTTGCCTACCAAATTAGGCCGTCTACATTTTACATGGTAATCTAAATTGCTCAAAATTTATTTTATACGTCTGTCTGTGATTCAATGAATTGTCTTAACTATATTTCACCCAATATGAAACAAGCTTAGATACACGAAAAATTTTTCTTCGTAAAAGGCCACTTGTTTTCAACGTCTGCCGGAGAAAAAGACTGGCGAAATGCCTCGAAATGGCTCTGTCTCTTAAAATTTCGCGCTGACATCAGAAAGTAGTGACCTATGATGTTCCCTCTGTGGCTGCCCTTGGCCCAAAGGTAGTCATTCACTTGAAAATGTCATATTTTGTTACGTATCCCATTGTTCTGAATCAGCTCTTCTCTTCAGAAAAGCTTGAGCAGTCTCGATATCTGTTTGAAGTCACCGAAAACCTCACGAATGTAACTTTCGTTCACCAAAAACCTCTCCTCCATTACTGAGTCAATATTGCCCTAGATTTTTATAAAAATGTCAAACTTCTTTTAGGGGTAATTCTCCTAAACAGTACGCTGAAGAGAACTAAAGAAGATTACATTTACTATTTTTTTTCTTACATAATATTGCCCAAAATATTATATATAGAAATATAGACAAAAAAACATTGAAAGCCAATATTGAAACGATAGCTTGTTTAAACTAAAATAAACAGACAATTTTAGACGACATTCTTAAAAATAAACAAGTTATTATATTAATATCTTATTGAATAAGTCTGATTCTAAGTTAAAACAGTTGCACATACCCGACGACGATTACACAGCGGCATTTAAGAAAGCAAAGTAACGTTTTTTAAAGTTTTTAAGCCAAATACGAAAGCGCTAATATCATTAATAGAGATTGGTAATTGAAGGACCAAAACAGTATCTTAGCAACGTACACAATTCGTTGACAGATTTAGAGGAATGATTTTAGAGAGAGACTGATTGTTCAAAATCCTTCTTTGAAGTCAACAGTTTAAATCAGTGAACATTCCTAAACTACTCAAGCCCTCCAAGTTTTACACGATTTTGCTTCAATAACAGCGCTTGCCTTGTGATAGAACGTTACAGGTGAAATTTTGCTCCAAATATTAAGGAAAGAAAGTCAAGAGAAGGCTCCCGTGTAAAATCCTGCCGTTACGCAATTTCAACGAATCCATGTGCCATAGAGCTTCGCGTTTTCAAATATTGCGGAATTTTTATGACGTTATGTCGCATTTTTTGCCAAAACCACAAGCGTCTCAAACACAATATCACGAGTAAAGAATGACTACAGTCTACTTACCGATACTAGTAAGGCGCTACTCTTTGAAGCAGTTAATCAACACGAGGCGAAATTTTTGAATCCAGGCGACACATCCGCGACACACCTTCGCGACCTTGACACAAAATCGAATACAAAACAGTGTTTTTCAGTCATGTGACCACTGATTGGCTGATTTCATGTACACTGAAATGGGTTTCGATAGCAAATGCCAGCGTATACGAGAAATGAAATGTCCCTTCAATACCTGTGATAAAATGTAGTGAAAACCGACTCGGCAGTTGAGTAAATAGGTTAAATTATGACCAAAGAGATGTCTCTATACTTCATCGACATGAGAAAATCTTGCTTTGCATGGACTGAAAAGTATAACCAATTTCCTAACCAACAACAGCGTCAAATATTTGTTGAATCGCTTTATATTCACCCTGGAAGGGAATTTTTTCGAAACCGAGAGTATGCCGCAGTAAGTTGGCAATAAGATCGAAGCAAATTTCATTTCAATCATATTTTAATTATTTCCACCTCTGTCATAAAGGTTATCTCCACAGGCATCAAATCTAAGGTAGTTAAACAGCGTTACAGACTCACTCTGCAGTAGTCGAAAACACTCTTCCGCAGTTTTAGACGAAAAAGCTGAAGCGAAAACTTAGAAGGACTCCACTTACCTCACCTCTGAAAGAAATTCTACAAACGGCAACAAAAACAAAAGCCTGCTAATTCTTGCTGCAATATAAATTCTTTCAGTTCGCTGCAGATAGAAGCACAATTCCCCACAACAAGTCTGGAGGCTTGTCTAATATTTGAAAAGATAACATTGGGCGCCTGTGGGCGTATCGTGGGCGTATTACTTCAAAGAAAGTTAAATATTGAGATATTCAAACCATTCCTGAGATATATATACTCTCTACATGTATTGTGGCCAATACGGTTAAAAGAAGTTATGTAAGGTCTTCTAAACCAAAACAATAAGCCAAAAAAAGGGAAAATACCTGCTCAGTTGACAAGCACCTCTGAAATCGAAGAACAACAGCAACACACCTTAAATGGCCGATTTACATGTTTTAAATATCTTGATGAATAATAACGCGTCGCACTTTGTAGTTGCTAAGACTTTAAAAATACGAATCTTTGCGAGTGACATAGTGCGTTTACGAAAGGACTTAGCCTTTGACGGGCCGACCTATGGCGCTAGTGAATTTGTCGTTTTAATTAGCGAACCACTCTTAGACGAAATGATTAGTTACCATAAAGAATGAAAGCTTGACAATACGGCAAATTTGTTTTCAGATCGTTCGTTTTACTCAATATTAGAATTAAATGTCAACTTGTGAATTTTAGAAATACACGCCACAAATAACGCTGTATAATTTCTGATAGCTTTTACTCTTTCATCTAATAATTTGGACCTGATTTTATCATCTTTAGTAGGGGTTAATTTATTTCCAAGTATGAAGGGGATAGAGAGGGTGGCTGAAAAGAGGTTTCCTGTTTGTTATCTTTGGAAAATAATTAAGTAAAAATATTGGGGGGAGGGAAGGGACATAGAGTAAATAACTACATCTGTTGGGTTACTTATCTCTAATATACCGTACCAGTTAACAGCTATTAGTGAAAGAAAATTGTTTCACGTTATTTTTGTAAAAGATGGTTCAGTTTATCAAAAGAGGGATAAACTGGTCTAAAACAAATTTGGTGGCCAACGTTATTCGAGATGTTTAATCCTCGGAAGTTCTGACCCAGTAACTCATGTTTCCTTCAAATTTACTTTATTTAATTCAAACAAAACTGACTCTTTTTCCTCTCGTGTCGGTCTTGAATTTTTTTTCCCTCTGCACACTTTTCATTATTCATTACAAATTATGTTTGACTCAATCTATATCAACAGGAGGGAGGTAAACTGATATTCCAGAGCCAACAATAGGCTCCAACGTCACGGCTAGGCCTGGGTCCGATAGAGACTGCCGAGAATTCTTGGTTGTTAGCTTTCCTTTCATAAGCTGTCCTTTAAGTTTCTTGTCTGTGTTTAATGGCGGAGTCTGCGATCCAAGTGACACAGCGGTGCCTGATGCGAACAAACTAAGTTCTCCAACCGACTGCAAAGAAATGATACGGAATAAGTAAGATACCTAACACGAAATCGCCATTCACGAAAAGCGCTTATGCTTTCACTTTGAAATATCTGGCCTCTAAATGTCTCTATAGATAGAGGGGGCTTATTCTGTAAGTACGAGACGGATTGTCTTGCGTTTGCTTCTTCGCTGTGTGATTGGTCTAGAAAACTCGCCCCAACTTCCCAAACAATCAGATGAAAGAACTACAACACTCACGACTTGGTCACCCGCGTTTTTCCACGCTTTAGACTGTTTGCCCGTTTTTGGCTTTTAACTATCATTAGCTCTTTGTATTTTTCTCTGATTTGGCATTGGTTCGGTTGATCATGCTGGATTTTTTTACAACATATATAATCGAAATGCGCTCTATTACACTACAACTGCAAGTACCAACTTACACTGCTTCGTTGAGTTCTGTCCAGTTTTGCCCTCGGCCTCCTTGTTTCACTGCTCGAACTTCTATTATTGTTCAAACTTTGAGGCGGCATGGGTGGTTTAGAAGCATTCACAGGATTAAAATTTAAGTTGTACCGCGTGAACGATTTTATTCCAGCGGAGGATTCAGGAGAAGTTCTGTGTTGAGATCGCGTCTTGTCCCGTCCCGCTGAAGATACTCGAAAAAGACCCACGTGGGGAATAATGTGAGGCTGATCCATTAGCGGAGGCTCTACGGATGACACACGGTCATGACTGGGAATCTGAATGTCTCCATTGGACCTGTATGAAAATGGATAACAGTTGTAGCACCATTGTAAAGCCAAATATATCACTGAACCTTAAACGATCTCATTAGTAATTCTCCTCACGGTCTCCCTCACAATTCTCCTGACGTTAGATTGGAGAATTTGGTATCGTATCAACTAATAATTTCCTACTTGATAATTGCTTGTATTCTCATCACTTGTCTTCTTGATGTTGTATTGATATTGCAAGGAGAAATTATGTCTCGGTCACTCATAGGAAATAAAGGGTTAAGGGTCAACTATTGGAATACGACTTGTACTAAAGTCACTGGAGTTATAATCACTTAACATCAGGTTTGCCGGCCATATTCATAGGAAAGTACTATATTCATGTGTAGTAACAAGTACTATATTCATGCATAGAATTTGGTCTTTTGATAGACACCAAAGTTTGAACGGCCATAATCTAAAGAAATCTCAAAACTTAAGAAACTTTAAAGAAACCAGCCATAGGTTGTGGGTGAAGTAATCAATCTTGACTTTGGTGAAATAAGTTAAATTCAGTTGATGCGTTTATGTGCAAAAAAGAAATGCAAGTAACTTTGGGGCAATATTCAAATCTCTATAAGAACTTTACTCCAAGGTCTGACAATTCTTACCGAGACTTATCATTTTGTACTACCATCAATTGAGATCCGCTGAGAGTAAAACTACTTGGTAAACTTGCTGCTGAGTTGCTACTATCATTAAGTCCTTTTAATCTCTGGCTTGGTCTTTTCCCAGCCCCTCCTAATGCATGACTGCCTTTTGGTCCAGACCTAAGTTGCCCCACTCCTGACACCATTTGTCTGTTTGGTGGCCTGGGTGCTGTGGTAATAACAGATCCAACATAAGAGCCATCCACAGGGCACTGTGAATGGTTTGAAAGCCAGTTGTCAATACAAGTCATGTGAAAAGGATGGTGACATGGAAGAGTTCTGATGCACTGGTGGACTTGAAATCCTTGTAAGCAGACACCACAGTTGCTGCTGTCACCCAACAGCCTGTGTCCATCTTGCAACACTTGCGTTGGTAAACTGTGGATCACATTTGCAGGGATGCCATCCTGATCAGTAACCTGCCTGTGAATGCAAGGACCAAACAGGTAATGAGGATAGTTTTAAAATTAAATTAAATTTTTAATCACTTTTGATACTTGTACAAAACTGATCCAAATAATTTTGTTGTCCTACCTGTCAAGTTGCAACAGCAATTCATAATCACTCTCAGAAATATCTCTATTTTCCAAGTCACTCATTACTGCACTGGGTAAAGGAGTTATCCGTGAAGCTGCTCGCCATCGTTCACTGGGTTTCTAATGAACATGAAGAATAAAATTTTATACTGATCTCCAACTCCATGTGATGCAAATAACAATTAGTGTAAGATTCTATCAATCAATGTAGAATTTAGATGTAACAAATTTCACCATTGAAATTGATTGAAATCTGATTTTGTGTGAGCAGTTAACCCTTCGACTCTGATGAGTGACTAGTATCCAATTTCTTCTCACAATATCACCCCTGAGCCAAACATTAAGGTCAGGAGAATAAAGGAAATGATCATCAACTAAAGAAGGTCATGATTATAAAACAAATTATTCTTGTCAGCACTTAAGGAGAGGTATCAAGAACAGTATGGAGAGTATGCATACTGATGTTACCTGTCTAAACTGGAAAGAATGCTGTAAATGTGTGTCTGTGGCAAAACAAGAGTGACACAGATGATAATCTGCACAAACAACACACCTGTAAACAAGCCAGAAATTTTTTCAAATTAGTAAGCTGTCAAGTTGAATAAATCAGAATTAACTGTTAATAAAATACTACAAAATAGTAAAGGGAGTAGGATTCTAAAGAAACTGTGTTGCTGTAATGGGTGGGTGGGGGGAGGGATACTACAAGATAATTTGGTTTCTGAGTTGATAATGTAAATTGGCTTCTGTAGAGAGTTTCTACAGCTAACATTATGACTTTTAATCTTCTGTCAGAGCCATAGCCACAAAATAGTCTACCTCATAGATACAACAGGTGTGTGTTACCTGTAACATTTTCCAGCTATGGGACAAACTCTGCATCTCTTACAAGTTGCACCAAGGTGAAGGTCTTGTCTTTCTGCTCTTGTTTTACGTCGAGAGGATTTGTGAAACTCATCCATTAATTCCTTTTAATTAAAAATACTTTAGTTGTAAAAGCCAAGTTAAGAAATAAAAATCCAAAATGTCTGGGTAAAATGAGCGCCATGGTAAAAATATCAAAAGGATGTTTTAAATTACTGACAGAAATGAAAAAAACAGGTCATGAACATCTTCATGTTGAATGACTAACCTGCAAAGTCCCAAAGTCAATTCTACAAAGAGGACACTTGATGATGGTTTCTCCAGTGGAACGTTGATGTTCAGCCCAGATTTTCATGCACTTTACATGAATACTATTACCACAGCCATACCTACAAACAAAAATGTAAATGTTTTCATTGGTTAAACTATGGTTAGTTTAGATGCCAGCCAGAAAAAGTGCACTGAAAACATGATTTTGATGCTTGCAGCAAAACTTCCAAGAACTATTGTGAAACAACAAACTTGTCCCTTTTAATTGGAGTTTTTACCAAGTCCCAGGGCAAAACTTGAATACTTTTCAATGTGGAGATTATTGAAAGAAAAGATTGCCATACAGAACAAGTGAACAAAGGTTTGTTTGCTGAATTTCTTTTCCATTATGTGGAATGTTTGCTACTGTGTATCTTATCAGAGGCTCCCTGTCTTTGACACTTACTTGCAATAAGTTAGTGGTTCAGGTTTCTGCAGCAACTCATCCTGACAGATTGGACACACATCTTCTTCCTCGATCTGTTTCTGTTTAAGTTTCTCTCGATCATCAGAGTTTGCCATATCTTTACCAGAATCCTTCCTCTTTGATCTGTTTGACCTTGAGTAGCCTCCCTTCATCACTTCATTAATCTCACGTTCCACCAGTGATAGTTGAAATATAACTAAGATTCAAACAGTGATCATTTGTTCCTTGCTCATTATCTTTACAATCACTAAACGGTGGTAGAGTAAAATCAGCTTGTAAGTCTCCTGGCCCATCTGGCCAGAGCTTATCCAAGTTTCAGCTGCATGAATTGACAAAGAATCTTATAACCCCCTCTGTATTAGATGTTAGTCCATCAAGGCTTTCTCCAGCATTTTCTAAGGCTTTCCTAATTATTTTCTTGTAACCATTTATATTCCTGGGTGGAGAGAAAGAGGCACTGAGAGAGTAAAGTTTCTCACCCAAGAACAGATAAACATCTTGATGCAGCTGGGGTTTTAACCCAGACCTCTCAACCCACAGTCAATTGCACTGATCACAAGAGATACTGACAAGCTGTTACACATATAGGCAACCAACATTGTAGGTATTTGTTTTGAGTTTTTCCCCCTAAAAAGTTAAAATAATCTGATTTAAAACTAGCAGGAAAAAGTGCAAAACAGGCATTTAGCAAACAGTGATATGGGGTACAACATTTTTGCATGTACATAGTTGATAAAGCACTTACTCTGATTTTCCTTAGGAACTCGAAATTTTTTGAGAAGCACCCTGCAGTAAAATAATAAAGAAGAAAACAAAAGACAAAAAAGTGATGTATAAGCTATCATTTTCAAACAGTACTATTGAGTGCTAATGAAGTCTTTGAAAAGAAGATGTTTAAATATCTTTGTGCATTAAAAGTGAGTGCATGCACAGATTTTTGTTATGTGTTGGAATTAAAATTGTACTTACCAGAGGATATGAATACATAGCTCCTTCTCCTTTGTGAAATTTTGACAAGTACAAGAATGTTGATCGCCCAAAAACACCTGAAAAACAAAATAATATGGAATGAGACAATAAAATATGAAAAGTCATGCATACTTTTTGTGGCTTACTTCTGGTAACATTCCTAGCAGGGTATCCTAAGGTTCAAAGTGAGTTAAAACTCATGATAGGGTAGAGTTAGATTATTAGGGAACTGTTATGGTACAGTTGAAAAGGTGGAAAGTATACATGTACGTACTGTAATGTAAGTTCTCATATTGTAACGCCGGCAAACAAAATAAATAGGAGACAATAATTATGTATTTGCAGAATCATGTTGCAAGTTACTGTATGTTAGTTTCACCATTGTCAAACTTTTTTATACAACAATAGTATTGTTTCAGAGTAAATAGCTTATGGTAAGGGAAAACCAAAGATTTGAGTTTTACCCCAGTTCATATAACAATTAAGTAGAATTAATATAAGTTTTCAAACGTCTTTGGGTACATTCATCATGCATTCAACAAACTTTAGGGCTCGTCTGTATTCTCGTATCATTCGTAAAAGACAATAGACGTTTTATGCGGCTATGAGACTTGTTGTTATTGTTAAGAAATCGCTGTTTACGTCAACAAACCTTAAATTTCTTATCCAAGCCATCTTCCTTCAAAAGAAATCCTGTGGGGCCTGTCTCGCGAAGAAGATAAATTCTAGCTTGAATGGCTTCCTCAATTCTGTTCAGAACAACATCAGGGCAATTTCTTCTCCAGGGAATCCTTCGAGCCATACCTTTCGATGTATGTTAGGCTATATTTGGTTTATATGGAAGGAATATCGTCGGAAAGATAAAGTTATCTTTTGGAATTTGAATTTTGCAAATTTTGTTTTTGCCTCGTATTCACGTTTGCCTGGCAACGATTTTTTGTGGAAAAAGACTGGAACTAATTTGAGGGACATTTGGTATGGCTTATACAACATCCATCCAGTCGTTTTGGAAACGAAGGAAGCCTCTACCAAGCTGTTTGCCGTGAATTTTTGTCTGAATTTTGACCTTTCTTGCGGCTAGATGGCTGGAGATCGAATACATCTAAAGCTGGATAGTACTGCTGCGGCTTCTATAGATCAATACTTGGAATATCGAAGGTTTGTCACCTAAATGCGATCTAAAATAGCAATTTAAATCGAAGCGAGCTTGGTTATTGGCTGGCATGCAGTAGCAGCATTTTCGTGTGAAATGAGTCATTTACAATGGTTCAGGTCTTCTAAACCTATATAAACCTAACAGCTGTGATTTTGCATTTCAATGAATGCTGCAACAGAATTGCAGGGTGCGCGCAGTTAGCTGGAGACACACTTGTGCTACATTTGCATAATTTCGAAAAGACTGTTGTTATTTTTTTTTCTCAGAATTGTTGGGGATGACGACGCAGGAAAACTCTTTACTCCTGAAGAATATGAAGAGTACAAGAAAAAAGTTCTGCCACAGAGAATGAAGAACAGGCTGTATGTAAGTTGGACAGCACCAAACGGTATGGACTGCAAGATGGTCGGCCCTGAAACAATGTGTTTCTGCAATCACAGGTGAGAAACGCAAAAATGGAATTACTGATAATTATTAGATGACTTTGAGCAAAGTATCGTTGATTGTCAGCAACGAGAAAATCGATACTAATGAGTGATCTGCGAGACGCTGGCAAATCACGATATTTTGGGGCAAGCGAGTCGATTGTCCTATTAATCGATTACTATTTTTTTTTTTAATTATTTCGTAAACTTCAGCCGCATTGGTAAACTAGTTTATATCACAGTTTTCTTTAATCAAACAACTGTATGTATAATGAAGTATGGATGATATGGAAATCTTGGCTTTTAATTATTTTTTTTTGGGGGGGGGGAGGGGGGTATTTCTTTAGCAGCTTAAAGAAGTGATCTGACAATTTGCATGAATGAGCATGGACATTTCTACTCGTAAGCAGAATGTTCTTTGCAGGAAATTACAGTATGACAGTATTACATATGAGCAAACCATTTCCTGGAGCCATTTATCAGCAGTCACGTGTAGGGTCACATAGAGAAATAGAAAAAAAGCAAAATAAATAATTTGATAACATTTTATTCCAAAATACAAGTAATTAAACTTACAAAGAACTTTTAATGCTTTTTTTCCAACATAGGTACAAACAACACAAAACTGATTATGAGACACTACCGCAAATCAGACCGATCCCAGTCCCTTGCCGTGTTAGTGGCTGTAAATGTAAGAGTTACCACTATGTACCAAAGAACGGCACCCAGCCAATCAGATGTCAGTGTAAACACTTTGCTGATGATCATTCTGAGGTGGTACCATATAAGTGTTCAAAAGGATGTGCATGTAAAAAATTCAGAAGTTCTTACACTTGTGGCTGTGGAGAACCAACTTATGCTCACAAGGTTGGTGAAATGTGCCATTGTTTTTAACTTAGGGTCCTAGATGAGTAAGCAAACCTTCTCCCACCCCTCCCTTCCTCCTGCCCCGTTTTCAGAGGTCTTAAGAGGACATGAGACATCATTAAAATTTGCTAGAATTTCTGTAGACAATTTTGCTTTGGCTCCTGCAAATTTTTGTTAATCAAAGAAGGAACAGCTCATATTTTATACTCATTGATAAATGCAGTAAAACTGTCCAAACTTTACCTCATTGTTAGATTTAGATTATAAAAAATCGGCTCTCACATACTCTCTGGAAGACTGGGATTCTTCTCCTCTCATACCACAATCTTACTTTTGGCAAAACATTAATTTTTTTTCATGGGCTGACACAATTACTGAAGAATGAAATGAATTTTCAAAATAAATTTAAATGTATTGGTTAAGAGTCTCAACTTGCAGAAGGTAGACCAGACAGTGGGCTGTTCTTAGGGCACAACCACTGAGTTTGTCTTGAAAAAAACAACAACAACAAAACCAACAAAAAACAAAACAAAAAACCCTCATTTAGAGTATTCCTACTTAACCTTATACACCTAGCATCAGTATACATATTCTTCATACTGTTCTCTATACAATAATGCACTGACAAGGAGAATTGATATAACAGTCAAGAGCTTCTTTAGTTCGTGATTATTTCCTGTGTTGTCATGACCTTAATGTGTGATATGTGGGGTGATATTCTAAGGAGAAATTAGATGTCAGTCACTCTATAGGTTCAGAAGGTTAGATCGCAGGGAAGAGGACTTGCATGTGGTTCCACCAGGTTTCAAGTCCAGTACTCACAGTAAACATTTGACTTTAATGACCTATGCATAGAGCAAGCTGTCTTTGTTTCACTATTGAAATTTTTCCCCACAAGACAATTGTTGAAACAAAAGAAGAACGCATATCTCGTGGCCACCCAATTGGCCATGATGTGCCTTATGCTGCCATGGGTGGAATCACAGGGTTCAGTTCACTGATGGATGGCTACATGCGCTTGGATGACAGTGGAATTGGCCCACCACCCTTGCATATGTTGGAGCAGCCAGTAGGTATGCAAAAAAAAAAAAAAAAATTGCCAGGGTTTGCTGCCTTCCTAGATTAAGAACATGTTCACAAAAACCTCAGAAAAAGACATTAAATTCAAGCACAAGAGCTCTGCTTTAACTGGTGTTCTCTTTTTTAAATATGTATAACAGGAGTTTTTCCATACTGTGCAAGATGTCTACAGTTTTTCAATTTCGTTGTTTTTCCCAGGACCTAATGACCACCCTTTCCTCAGAGTACAAGCTGGTCTGGCTGGGCTGTCATTAGAGGATGGGATGGGTGCTGGTGCAGGACAGGTGTCACGTAGAACCACTGAGGAAGAGGACATGGCCTATTTTGAGAAGCGATACCAAGCCAGAGTGAGTGAAATTTAATGTAAATCTCTTTGTGTTTTGTTCACATTTACGAGTTACAATATGTAGGAAGTCTTGACAAGTAAACATTCCTGGTTTTACAGCTGAAGGCAGAAAAGGAACAGTCTAGAGTGCAGCGATCACCACAACCCAAGAGGTTGACAGGGCCAGGCACTACACAGCAGAGCACAGGGATTGCCTCAAGGAAGACTGGCCCTAGTAAGATGAAATCAGCAACCAAGCCTGTATCCTCTCGAAGCCCTGTATCCCAGACTGGAAGGCAGAGCAACAGATGATGAAACATCTTGAGGGGATTACTGGCATAGAGAGAAAGTGTGTGTAGTGGTGTGTCTAAGATGGGGGAGAAGGGTTTTTGTCTCTCACTTGATGTGTCCCATGCTCTAATAACCCCCTGGAAGGAGAGGGCTCATAAATTACTTGGGCTTACAAAAGAGAGGGACTTATTATGGAGGGGGGCTTCTAGGAGGGGGGAAGAGCTTATGAGAGAGGGGTGTATTAGAGAGGAGGGCGTATTAGAGAGGGCTTTTTAAAGTAGGGGGCTTATTAGAGAGGGGGTCTTACACAACCTTTTAGGAGGGGCTTATTAGAGCATTTACTGTAAGCACAAGTAACGGTTGTAAGACAAAAAAAAGCTATTCATAAATATTTCTTACACCCCATTACACAAGAAATTAAATACAAAGTCACTAATTTATTGAAGTATTTATACACATACATGTGCACTTACATTGACTTTCTTAACGCTTTTTTTAAATGAATGAAATAAAAACACAAGAGAAAATAAATTACAATACTGCTTCTACATGATTTGCAAGAGCCTAACCTGAGATAAGCTACTAATAATTAGTCTTCTTCACAACTTTTGCACAACTTTTGCGTGATTACATGTTAGTTCTTGGACAATTTGACTGTCATGTTTAAGTTAATACCTGAGATCTCTATGTAGTTAAGGGTGTTAAGTTGTTCAGTCAGAGCAGTTGAACATAACTATATAAATTTTACCGACCTAAAATGAATATGTATGATCAATACAAACCTTGCTGCTCAGACACAAATCTAATGTGGAAAGCGAAGTATTTGAAGAAACAATGACGTGAAAACTAAGTGAGCATTTTGACCAGAAAATGCCTTGAAACCAAATGGTTACTGTTAATAAGGACAAAACATCTCCGAGGTGTTCAGAGAAACAAGAAAATTCGGAGGAAATGTTCGTGAATATTACTCCTGATAAACTGAAATCACAACCGTATATGCCTTTTTCCTTTTTCGCCATGGACTAGAAGGATAAAGTGTTCTAGAGCCACGGGTGCCATGCTGGATCCATGCGGCATAAATTATCAGGGCTAGTGGCCGCTGCTATCAGAGTTGTCACCTTAGTCTCCCCTCCCTCGTATTGTGCCAAGTCTACAAAGTAAATGAATGATAATCATGCGTTAAACAGTTATTAATTTGTGGTATCAGCAGATAAGTGACTAAAGACTTCGATTTTTACTGTGGTATACATTAAGATGAAACTTTTTGTGCTGATCCTGCAGGATACTTTGACTTACTCTGTAGTCTGGTGGTAATGGCCTTTACAGCTGCGTTCACTAATGTAATTAACAGCTCGCTGTCCATATCAGTCGGTGGGTTACTCAGGGGAAAGGTGTGGGCCTCGTCTTGTTCCTGCAATTAGAAGTAAGAGTGTTACATTTACTTAAAACTCTAAAACCAAGCAGAAGAGATACACAAACCAAGTAGAACTTTTTATGGCCAGATTTGAAAACGGGTATGGATTTACAAGGCCAGGGGTCTAAAAAAGGATGTGGGAATTACATTCTTTTGTTTGAAAGAAAGTCAGGATTTGGAAAACTAAGTGGCATAGCCCAACCACCCAATATTTCCAAGACGTCCCTCATTCGCCCGCCCCACCCCCTCTCCCCCGATCTTTAACCCTTTAATTCCCATGAGTGACCAAGAGAGAATTTCTCCTTATAGTGTCAATGTAATATCAAGCAGACAAGTGATGAAAATAAAGAAAAATAGTCATAAGGGGAATTTGAATTGATCCAGTACCAAATTCTCTAAACTAACATCATAGGAATTGTATGGCAGACAGTAAGGAGAATTACTGATGAGATCTTGGGAGTGAAAGGGTTAAGTAGCTGGCCATGGACGTCGTTAAAGGCGGGATAAACTTAACCTCTACTTTTTAATTCAAAGCAGCGGAGGGAACGTTTACTGACCTTTTTATGCCAAGCAATAATCTCGTCTCGCAACACAGCTTTCAAGATACTCTGAACACTGAAATGAGGCTCAGCTAAACACCGCGCCGCTGACACCATCGCTGCCGTCATCACTCCATTCACACCGACCGGCGTAACGAACTCGGCAATGTTCGGAGTTAGTCGGAAAGGTACGGGACGGTTCGCGTCCAGTTCGCCTTGGGTACAAAAGAAACGAAAGCACAACTCAGTCCTGCAAAATTTTATTCACAAAAAGGTTTACCAAAGATTGATGTCTACCTTTTGTGTCGTCCAGCTCAAAGCGGCTGTAAGAGACAGTTAGTCGGCCCGAGTCCTGCGCAATTTGAAGCATTTCTGGTCCCAGTCTTGTAAGATGCAGAGTGAACTCAGCAAAACCAGAGAGAGCGAGTTGAATGCAAAGCTACAAGAAAAGAAAACTAACATTTAGTTTACTCGGTTATTTAATTGAGTAAAGACCAGTGAGAGGTCTTCACGTACCTGTTTCCTGAAGGTCCAGTAATCAGAGGGATCCTGATACGTGTACTGGGCCCATTCTTTGAGAAGGACTTCTGGCACCAGTGTGAGCTGCACCTCTCTGAGAATGTCCTTTAGAACCTGGTGAGTCACCTGACAGCCACGTGACTGGACAGAAGCGAGGCGCTCGTAATACAACGCGATTGGTGCGTCAGACTCCACGTGTTTCTTGTCACAACGCTACGAAGAAAAATAATGGGTAAATATGAGGAGTCTGGTAGGGAAACAGAGAAGTGCTGGAAAATGGCTACTTACGTCAGTTAGGATCTCCCTTAAAGAAATGAAAGACGGATTGTCCTAAAAAAGATTTTGAAACTGATTAACATAAAGAAGAATGAAGTTAACGAGACATGGAGCAGAACAACTTTACAGCAATGCATGACTGATAAACCATAACGCGTGACTGGTCATAACATCGCGTGACTTACCTCAATGAGTCGCATTTGAGGTGATACAGCTACAACACGTGGTACCGTAAATAACAGGTGTCTTTTGCAGGACTCCTAAACGAACAAAAATCAAATCTATTAAGTATTTATTACAGTAATAAACGTTGGAGAGATTTTTAGCCGTGTTCAAAGCATGTAACGATTCTACCCAAAAAAAAAAAAATAATAAAAAGCCCGCAAGCGTATGAGGCAGTTGAGTCACGTGAATAGACCGTGGGTTGCAGAAGAGGTATTTCCCTTGTTTGAGGAAATGAGAAGAACCTTTCTGTGTCGTTACTCTTTTTGTAGAAACAAAAGTTGTATTTCTTCTCTAAAACTTCATCACTTGTACCTTTCTCTTCTCTAAATAAAGATTTAGGAGCCTCAACAGTTGAAGAATTCTCTCTTCCCTTCTCGATTCCGTCATGCACGCATCGTTCACTACCAGGTATGGATAGATCTGAAAGGTAAAACACAATTCAAACTTTAAAAAAGTAAGAAAGTAGCACAAACATTACATTGATTTAAGTTCTAAATAAAAAAAGTGTATTTCTTTTAATTCCACGTTTCATGAATAAGCATTATAACACCATATATGGTCATACCTTGCCATTATTACCCCGGATGTAAAGGCGCCGAGCAGAAAAGTTGTGCTTTTGAACGAGCTCAACCCGCGGCATAAAGCGAGCGATCCTAATATAGTATGGACTATGCTGAAAAGAAATTAAAACATAGACATTCAACACTTATTTACTAACTTGAGATTAACAGCACTGTGTCATTAAAACAAGTTGCTCTATCGTGCCAACTGGCTGAATTTCTATTCAAAAGAGAGCGAAAAGGGTAGCTTTCTCTTTTCAACTAACCGTGTTGAGCTTGGGCATCAAAAACTCGCCAGGAAGCTCCACTTCTGCTGTAGAGGTCGTGAAATTACTGAGGAATCGACATCTCTCCTCCAAAAGAAAAGAGCTACAAAGAGACAGAGAGGTTCACGCTTAGCTTGATAACTACTTTTAGCTTGTCCCTGAGTGTACCTCATACAACACACACACTAACATACATAAGCAAATACGTACATTGTTCCACATCTATATGAAAAAAAGCTTAAAATGCATGCAACATTACTAGGTTGTTTCTCAAATTCGAGACAAATGTGTCTTACCTTGGGAGAAGTTTTGCTCTTTCTTCCAGAGTCTTGATCCATTTCTTCAGTTTACCGATCAAAGTGTGAAGAACCATGGACCCTGGTTGACTGTAAGATTTAAAAATATGACTTGATACTACATACACTCTAAAATATCTGGACGTTAACAGTCTCAGTTGTTATCCTCTTCAAAAGTAAGTAAAAATCAAAACAGTTTCAAGCTTGAATCATCATCATGTTCAATAGCGTCCAACACTAAAAGCTTGGACATTAAGTTAAACTAGGTGTCCCCTAGGACGAGAATGTATTTATTTTTCCCACTGCTTACGTGAAGTCGAAATCAACAGCGAACTGTTCCTTCAGCCTCTGAAATACTGGATCTTGAGCCGTGGCTTGGGCCCTTCTCGCCAAGGACTCAGATGCAGCTGATGAAAAAGTGCTTGATACACTCGAGGCCGATTCAAATCCGATTCCGAATGTGCTGACTAATTTCTTCACAAAGCTCAGTGTGTGTGGTGTGATTCGGGCAGCTGCAACTGTTGGAAGATCGAAATTGTTTTAACAACTCAAACCAAAGCAAATAAACAAATAATGACCGAAGTCTGCTTCATCAGAAATTCCAATCTTTAGTGCAGGCGTCCAACTGATTAAAGGGTATTTGTTCCCATCGTTTCAGAAAATGAAGGAGCCTGAGAAACTTACCATCGCTTCTTGTTTCAAACGCGACTTGATAACACTTTATGAGTCCCTGGCGCAGCTGCCTTAGTACCTCCTCAGGCCAACCTTCACGGAACCAAACCATCTGCCGACAAAAAATAAACTTTTCAGCATCAAAAACCCATGTACATGTACCGATCGACAACCTCATCAAGGAGTGAGAGTAACAATGTGGTCTCCCAAAAGGTGCATAACTTTATAACAAAAGGTGCATAATCTTAGAACATGTTAATGTACCTAATTGACTGCCACTTCACGGGCTGGGAGCAGAGTTGGATGAAAGTGCCTCAAAAAGTACACAATCGCAAAATAGGCACATGTATCCAAACGACTACTCTTTCTGGGGCCGTGAGGAGGGTTGGAAGAAGATCCCTTACAATAGTGTATAATTTTACGACATGAATATGTACCTGATCTACTACTCCTTCGAGGGCTGAGAGGAGAGTTGGATGTAGATCCCTCAAAAAGTGCATTATCTTACTACAGCGCCACATCTGGGCCGTGGCTCTTATCGCCCCTGGGTCACTATGACTGCTAGTTGGTGTTGAAGCTGAAAACCAAAAGATGTACATTAAAATTTTATACAACAAAGATCTTTTGGTACATAGGGGAAGACTACTGACAATAACTAACTTCTGATGGATATTCTAATGCAACCTTTTCTTTCTTTTGGTATTCCCCCCCCCCCTTTCAGGTTCTTGTTTTTACGAGTCCCCTGTGGGGTACCTGTAGTTGGTGTCGTGGAGCCAGCAGTTGTAGAAGTGGTCGCTGAGCCTGCAGTCGAAGCTGTAGCCTGTTCAGAGGTAGTTGTTGTAGGCATCGGGGTGGGTGTTGATGGTGTTGTCTGAAATGAACCAAACAAAAGACGACATGTAACACAATTCGAAAAGCTTGAAGAGAGTACGATCAGAGGTTTCATAAGAATAAATTTAATGATCTACAAACCGGTGTGGCTGTTGAACTTGCCGCATTTTCTGTAAAAAATAAATGTTAACAATTAATAAAATCACTCGTCTCGTCCTTTAGACTAAACAGAAACAAGCAACACCCAAAAGTGTCTTTCCGTTTACATACGTCAAGTAACATCTGACAATGAAGTGGAAAACAAGTTAATACCTGGTGCAGCGCTTGTTGGCGTTGAACCAGCACTTTTACTCGTTGACGAGGCTGTGGTACCAGTCTGTCCTGTTTCTGAACCGGTTGCACTGGTTTTAGGGGTAGCTGAAGACGCGTTTTGTGATTCTGAGGAGGCGGTACTGTTGCTGCCTGAAGTAGAAGACCGCTGGGTTGTTATGTTCGCTGCCTCCATTTTATCTGGGATTACAACAGAAGTGAAGCAGCAGATTTATAAATAATAGCAAGAGGTTACAAAAGCTTAAGAATTTTTTTAACTAGGAGTGAAATATAATATTTCTCAAATCATTTAAGAATCTACTCTCTGTTAAATTTTGTAAGTTAGAATCCAAGCGAACTTCGATTCAATAAAGCACCTAAACGACAAGGTTGCTAAAACATGTCGTCCGCAATGAACCCGGGAAATATGCCTCAGGCAACGAACCAAAGTGAATGCGGGAAGAATAACGACGTAAAATGCAACTGTGGTCAAAGGTTGGAGACATGCATCAGCGATGAGCAGATATACGTTGGAGGCGCAGGAGTATCGAATGCACTGTAAGTACAAGCTTATGACATGGCTTCTGCTGTAAGCTTATCCACGATTGTTCTCAGAGGTGAGTGGTTGACTAACAAACTCTCACTGGTACGGATGATTAAGCTCATTTTACAGGTACTTAAATGGGCCGTCTTCGCCTCGGCTTTGAGGGAAAATATTGTTCGTACACTTGTAGACGGGGCCGAGAGGGCGCATATAAATGAACATCGAAGAATAACAAAGAAACGCACCATTTTTGATAGAGTTATATGTTTTTGTATTTTCTTATATGCTCCTGTTACTCGAAAACCAACCGATTAAGGTCCTAATTAACAATACTCACGTCTCTCCCGTTGCTCAATCTTGCAGGTAAGATACAAGGTTCTAATTGGAAAGTACATGGCCTGAAAATAGGATATCATTCGATAAACAACACAAAAAACTGATATTCTATCCAGATCGTCAGGCTAGTGAGGCGCAGACACAATCAACGTGGAAAAAGAACAAATCAAAGCAAACTGAAAAAGAGAGACGAAAGAGAAGTGAACTACTTCCGTTCACTAACCTGAGGATAAACTCGACCAATATTACACAGAAGGTTTAATATCTTTTGACCTTCACGTCGAACCAAACACGTGAGCAGCTGGGGAATCCTGAGCACCAAAGACAAAAACGAAGAATTATTCACTCCGCATGTTAAACACGAAACAAAGGGACAAGAGACGTTACTTGACGTAACTTACCAGGGAAGCCAGTGAACCGGGGGGACACCGACACAATATTTGTCAACTGCTTCAGCGATCGAGCCCTATAAACATAAATCGATGAGCTTTTATCATCACTGAAGTCAGCTTTAGAAACTGTCTACGGTGGTCAATTTCCTTTATCAACTCATTTGACTAAACCAAATTATCGTAGTTTACTTTCCGCCGACGCAGCACCACAGTTTCTTACAGAGACTACCCCCTTAACGCCTCGGTAAGGCGTATCAATGTATAAAAAAAGTTGTTTCTATCCACGAGAAAACGGACCCTACGGTCTACATAATTACGCGTACAACTGAACGGCACATACTGTCTAATTACACGGGCATGACGCTTAAAATGTGCTGTTCGAACTTAAATAGGGCTACAGATAAGCAATGAGAATCTTGTTGCTGTTGTGATTAAGCTGCAAATATCTTGTTACCAGACCTTTTCGTCATCATACGTCATCAACCAAATTGTTCGCGCCAAATACTTGCGACACTTGGCCTCGTTTTGGTGTCTGCAGGCGTGAAGATAACAAACAATGGCGGATACACCAAGCTGTATGTTCCTGCGATCACATATGGAAAAATAATGTGACGCATAGGAAATAAGTATCAAATTAATACAAATTTATATATGTGGCCTTATACATAAAACTTATAGGTATGGTGCTTCGATGCGCGCGCGCTCCGCTGTAATCTAAAGTAGTGGAGTTAAAAAAGAGACCCACATTGTAATAGTCGTTTTCTGGCTGGTATAGTCACCACAAACACTCAAATATGTGGGTGATGTAAGAGAAAAGAAGGGTATTTTCTTACCTCTCTAGAACAAAAAGACCATCAAGGTAGTCACCCCATAGTGCCCAGGCTTTCACAAGCGAGTCCTGCATCTGAACCGCTTGCGAGAAAGCTTTGTTAGCATCTTCAGACCTACAAACACATTAAAATAAAAAAAAATTTACCCTAAGCAGAGGAAATAAAAGTGCTTCAAAAGGTCAGCAACTATCGGCAATAAAATATCCGACCTTCGCGTTTCCTGTTGGACGCTAAACAAAGTATTTCTGTACTGATTATTGTTCTGATTGTACTGATTGACGTGACTTGAGTGTCGAAGGCAGTCTGGGATTGCTTTGCATTTGCTTCATTTCGTTATGTGATTGTTCCAAAAAACTCGCGCCACTTTTTCAGCCAATCAAATTCAAAACTAAACCCAATGGCAACTTGGTCACTCGCGTTTTCCCGCGCTCCAGGCAGGTTGCTTGTTTTTACTTCGAGTGATATTTTCGTGATATTTTCATCCTATGATTGGCTATTGGAATTGCTTTGGTTTGGTTCAAGACACTCAAAGCAATCTAAGGCAACAATTTGCCCCTGTTTTTCGTTTTGTTCCTCTTTCGTCATGTTCTCTCTGCTTTCAATTTACCTTCCAATGTAAGCGAGGAACATTCCTTTGAGAGCAAAGAACTCTGCAGTCATTTCCTTGGAAAAGTATTTCAGATTTGTAGACTCGATGACCTCAAGGCCCTGTAAGATTGACAAAAAAACAGCATTAGTTTAGTCTAATTTTCCGAATTCATAATGAGGAACCTCACGTATGGTTTAACTAAGAGAGGAGCCAAACGTCTGCGCATGAGCGAACGCTGTAATGATGAGATGGCGTGCTTTCAGGCAGTTAGAACTAAGTTGCCTCTCAGTGTCATAGAAGCGTATAACGTTTTCAGTAGAACTCAAAGCAAAAACGTAAATCAGCATGAAAATCCTCCTTGAAAAATCTTTGTGTTCGAAAAGTCTCGAGTTTTCCTTTTCCTTACCTTTGTTTCCTTTTACAGATTTTCATGAACAATTCAATTTCCTTTCTCTTATTCTGTGAGATAGCGGTTTTTCTTATGTTTTCCTGTTAATTTTTTTGGCAAAAATTGCGCGCAGCCGGCCAAAACTGATCCCTCGCGCACACCCGACGTTGGACCGCTGCGTTAGTTTGGCTCACCAACCAGTGAAAAAGATCACAATTTTCTTCCGTTGTAGCTCCTCTATTCCACTCACCTCTTGCAACTCTTGTTTTCCCATTCCGCCAGCCATCTGCAGATAACACTTCACCTGCTGTCTAATCTTCTGGAAACAATCCACGATAGGAACACTGGGAATAGTGTGAATCCTGTAACACACATAAAAAGAGGTCAGCGGCAAGTTTAGTGTGATATTAAATTGCATTAAGTGTGCTACTACCAACCTGCTGAGCGAGTCCAAACACACTCCAGTGAGGCCTTGTTTCCTGGCTATGTAACCATAATGAATGATGGCCCAAGCGGAGGCGTGAACACCAAGCATGGAGTGGTTACTCTGCTGCTTGACAGAAAAAAAGTACGGTCACTTATAGAGCAAATGCTCAACCTGACCTGGGTAGTAAAGGTGGGAGAGGGGGGAGGGGGGAGGGGGGGAGGGGGGGAGGGGGGGGGTTGAAGGGAAAAGGGGAGTTTCCGCATTCCTAGGAAGCTTACCAGGGAGTCTGCTAACGATTACGAAGGACATTGACTTAACAAGAGCTGGTTTTAATTACTCTTAAATCCTTTATGAAAAGACAACAGAAGAGACAACAGAATTAGTAGGGCAAACATCGTAAGCCAAGTAGATATTTGCAGATAAGAAAGACATACCTGTTCATGTTGCGCTTGACTTTCATAAGCTGCTACAATTGCCTGATAGTGATGATGTCTCCACATAAAGATGTCACTCCAGTGAGATAAATTGTCCGACGGCATGGGGAGGCGATTACTAAAAGTTTAAAGAATTTTAACGTTGTTGAATGTAGGCAAAGGTTAATCAGTCTTTTTTATTTCACTCGCTGCTTCATTCAATAATAACTGAAAATACAAGTAGTGTTAGAATTGCTCGAGACGTAGCTAATAGCTTGGTGCTTTCCAAACTTCCCATCTTCACATCTTGATTAACAAAGAGCTTACAAACGAACAAATTTTTTAAAAAACTATGTCGACGCCGTTGTGCTATGTTGTATCAAGAGCAGTTTCCGCTGCTTTATTTCAATGCGCATACACCCGTCGTCAGCTCGAACAATGGGAATATGACGGAAGCTTGACGAATGACGATTTGAATTTAATAAACGAGTTTACTCGCTGTATTATAAAAACAGTTGTGGATAAATATATTGGAAGGAGAAGCTTCTCACCGCCATGTTTTCACAATAGCCTTCATATCATGTAGACTAGTCGATCGTCCAACATTCGGCGGTTGTAGACCCGTGTGAATCTGAGCAGCTTCTTGAAGCTCCATAATTTGTTGCGCCGCCTGGAATTAACAGCAACAGTAATCAACAAAACGTCCAAAGAAAAATTCAGTAGAATCGATAACGACCCCCTTGGAGCAAAGGGCATGCGTGTGAACTATTTTTGGAGAGGGCGAGAGAGCATTGAAAAGATAGAATTTGTCACAGAAAAAAAAACATGGCAAAGCTTACAAAAGAGAGATTAAATAGAAACCAGGCGATTGGCTGGTAAGTAAATAAAAAAAAGAACAGAAAAAAAAGGATAAATGCAAGAAAAACAGTTTTTTCGTTTTAAAGACCGCTGCAGAATAGAACCGATCGTACGTCGACGTAAGCGCGTTTCGTCCAGCTCTTCACATCCGCGACATATTTTTTTGCGCTTATGAAAGTGTGGGCGTTTGTTTACCCTTTACACCCTAAGATCAGTATGCATATTTTCAATACTGTTCTCTATAACATTTAGATGCTCGTCACTCTGACATGTAGGGGTCAAAGGCTTAAAACATGAAAACGAAACAATCAGAGAAGCTCACCTGTAGGAGTGGAATGTGTTGCTGTGAAATAATCGGAGGTAAGCGCCTCCATTGGCGAATTGCTTGAGTTGTGGAATGCTCTACAAGTTTGTCGACCTATGTCGCGGAGGATTAAAACAGCATTTGGTTATAGGAGACAGTCATAACGTGCAGATATAACAGATGCTTCGATTGGTTGGAAAAGAGCGATTACGGTAGTGTTAATATGAACGAAGAGAGACCCAATCGAGACCCAATCTCCACTCGTTCCTCTCCCGTCATGCTCATAACTTTCGCTTCATATCACGAGTAGAACAAACCGCTGGCAGCGTGTAAAAAAATAGAATATTAAACGCAATTGTGACACAAACCATGTTAAGGTGTTGTTCATCCGGATGGCAAATAGCTATGTAACCTCGATATAAGTTCAACTTGTACGCGATTGATTCCGGGAAGTTGACTTCAACCTGAAAAGCCATAGGAAGACACGTGGAAATCAAATACTGATAAAATAGTGGAAATATTCTTTTGGAGCTTATAGTTGTTCAAAAATTACCTGTGCAAGAGCTTCTTTCATTGATTGCCACTCAGGGACTCTCCATGCACTCTCTAGAACTAAAATAACAAGAAATATCAGAGAAACGATCAGAGAAAGTAACACACATTATCATAAAAAGAAAATCAACAAATGAAGTAGGAAAATTTTCACGATCGTACCCAGGAAAGGATTAGTGTGGCCCTTAGTCTTTCCGAACTCCATCAGCAAATCCCATTGACCGAGCTCTTTAGAACAACTGAAAAAGATGACACGAAATACATCAACAAATAAGTACATTTACCAGTGTCTGTACACTAATTTCGATTAACATGTGAGAATAGGGCCCGAGTGGCAACGCTTAGGACACGTCAATTGAAAAAAACTAATTTATATTTTTCTTAAAATTGTGCAAATGGCTGGATTCATTAACCGCCTCTCACAGCGCCAGACTTCAAAATAATTTATGAGGGCAGTGCTGGGTTCCAAAAGAGATATGTGAACAATTCGCCGTCGTGGTTTGCGAAAAGTCACCACTCTGTTTCAACATTATTCAGGACAACCTCCATAGGTAATCAAAAGGCGAGTTCTCATTACCTTCCTTATTTTTAACTGCATTGACTTACACGGAAAATTTATGGGCGGATCACAGTTAGAATAACACCCCTGACCAAAACCTTTCTCCGCTTATTACAGGAGGTAACGCATGGAACTTCCACATCGAAAGCTCAGAGGCTCCATACTGAATAGATTGTTTAAGACACTTGCCTGACCCAGTGCTCCTCCCACAGATTGTACTCTGATGTTAGTTGCGGATTAGCTGGGCCGCGGTTATGTTCCTCACGGGCCTTGCTCATCACCTGAAGAGAAGTGGGAAATTTATCGCATGAATTAAGTTAAGAATAAGATTCCAAGAATAAAAAGATAGCACTGAAGAGTGCAAACAAACCAAAAAACAAACACTGCGCAAGATACCAACGTAACAGTTAGAAAAACCGGAGAAAAAATAGTGCCCGAGATACCAACGTAACAGTCAAACAAACCAGAAAAAACATAGTGCGCGAGATACCAACGTAACAGTTAAACAAACCAAAAAAAAAAAAAATAGTGCACCAGATGCCAACGTAATACACATACAAACCAGAATACAAATAATGCGCGAGGTGCCAACGTAACAGTCAAACAAACCAGAAAACAAATAGCGCGCGAGATACCAATGTAACAGTCACACAAATAAAGAACAAATAGTGCGCGAGATACCAAGGTAACAATTAAACAAACCAGAAAACAAATGGTGCACGAGATGCCAACGTAACAGTGAAAGAAACCAGAGAACAAACAACTAGTGCACAACATGACAACGTAATTATTAAAAAACTAGAAAACAAATAGTGCACAACATGCCAACGTAACAGTTAAGCAAACTAGAAAATAAATAGTGCGCAACCCGCCAACGTAACAGTTAAAAAAATTGAAAACAAATAGTGCGCAACATGCCAACGTAACAATAAAACAAACTAAAAAATAAATAGAGGGCAAAATGCCAACGTAATCGTTAAACCAACTAGAAACAAATAGTGCACAACTAACCAACGTAATAGTTAAGAAACAAGCAAACAAAAAGTGCGCAACATGGCAACGTAACAAAATAAACAAACTAGAAAAGAAATAGCGCGCAACATCCTAGCGTAGTAGTTAAAAAAAAACTAGAAAAAAAATAGTGCGCAACATGGCAACGTAATAGTTAAATCAACTAGGAAACAAATAGTGCGAAACACGTTAAAGTAAAAGTTAAAAAAACCAGAAAACAAATAGTGCGCAACATGCCAACGTAACAGTTACAGAAACTAGAAAATAAATAGTGCGCAACATACCAACGTAATATTTCAACAAATTACAAAACAAATAGTGCAGAAAACGTAACGTAATAGTTAAACAAACTACAAAACAAATAGTGCACAACATGCCAAAGTAAAAGTTGAACAAACCACAAAATAAAGATTGTGTAACATACCAACGCAATAGTTAAACAAACTAGAAAACAAATAGTGCAGAAAACGTCAACCCAAGAGTTATACATACTACAAAACATGTAGTTCGCAACATCCCAACGAAATAGTTAAACAAACCAGAAAACAAATAGTGCACAATATGCCAACGTAATAGTTAAACAAACTAAAAAACAAATAGTGCGGAACACGAAACGTAATAGTTAAACAAACTAAAAAAAAGAATAGTGCGGAACATACCAACGTAATAGTTAAACAAACTAAAAAAAAAAATAGTGCGGAACACGAAACATAATAGTTAAACAAACTAGAAAACAAATAGTGCGCAACACACCAAACTAATAGTTAAAGAAACTAGAAAACAAATAGTGCGCAGCACACCAAAGTAATAATTAAACAAAACAAAAAACTAATAGTGCGCATCATGCTAACGTAAAGGTTAAACATACTAGAAAACAGATAGTGTGCCACATGCCGACGTAATAGTTATAGACCCTAGAAAACAAATAGTGCGCAAAATGCTAACGTAATAGTTAAAGAAAGTAGAAAACAAATAGTGCGCAACACGCCAACGTAGTAGTTAAAAGAACAAGAAAACAAATAGTGCACAACACACCAACGTAATAGTTATAGAAATTAAAAAACAAATAGTGCACAACACACCAACGTAATAGTTAAAGAAATTAAAAAACAAATAGTGCACAACACACCAACGTAATAGTTAAAAAAATTAAAAAACAAATAGTGCACAACATGCCAACGTAATAGTTAAAGTAGAAAACAAATACTACAGAAAAAACCAACGTTATAGTCAAAGTAGAAAACAAATAGTGCGCAACACACCAACCTAATAGTTAAAGAAACTAGATAACAAATAGTGCGCAACATGCCAACGTAGTAGTTTAAAAAAATAAGAAAACAAATAGTAGTGAAAGTAGAAAACAAAAAGTGCGCAAAAAACCCACGTATTAGTGAGAGTAGAAAACAAAGCGCAAAACACAAACGTAATAATGAGAGTAGAAAACAAATAGAGCGCAAAACACCAACGTGATAGTGAAAGTAGAAAACAAATTGTGCGCAAAAAACCCACGTATTAGTGAGAGTAGAACCCAAATTTAGCATAAAACACCAACGTAATAGTGAAAGTAGAAAACAAATAGTGCGCAACACACTAACGTCGCAGTTAAAGTAGAAAACAAATAGTGCGCAACACATCAACGTAATAGTTAAAGTAGAAAACAAATAGTGCGCAACACACCAACGTCGTAGTTAAAGTAGAAAACAAATAGTGCGCAACACACCAACGTAATAGTGAAAGTAGAAAACAAATAGTGCGCAACACACCAACGTCGTAGTTAAAGCAGAAAACAAATAGTGCGCAACACACCAACGTAATAGTGAAAGTAGAAAACAAATAGTGCGCAAAACACCAACGTAATAGTGAAAGTAAAAAACAAATTGCGCAAAACACCAACGGAATAGTAAAAGTAGAAAACAAATAATGCGACAAACACTAACGTAATATTTAAAGGGGAAAACAAATAGTGCGTAAAACACCAAGATAATAGGAAAAGTAGAAAACAAATAATGCGCAAAAGACTAACGAAATAGTTAAAGTAGAAAACAAATAGTACGCAAAACACCAACGTACTAGTTTAATTAGAAAACAAAGAGTGCACAAAACACCAACGTACTAGTTAAAGTAAAAAACAAATAGTGCGCAAAACAAACAACGTAATAGTGAAAGTAGAAAACAAATAGTGCGCAAAACACCAACGTAATGGTTAAAGTAAAAAACAAATAGTGCACAAAACACCAACGTAATAGTGAAAGTAGAAAACAAATAGTACGCAAAACACCAACGTATTAGTGAAAGTATAAAACAAATAGTGCGCAAAACTTCAACCTAATAGTTCAAGAAGCAAACAAATAGTGCGCAAAACACCAACGTAATAGTTAAAGTACAAAACAAATAGCGCGCAAAACACCAACGTATTAATGAAAGTAGAAAAAAAAGGGCGTAAAACACCAACGTAATAATTAAAGTAGAAAACAAATAGTGCGCAAAACAGTAACGCATTAGTAAAAATAGAAAATAAATAGTGCGCAAAACACCAACATTTAAGTGAAAGTAGAAAACAAATAGTGCGCAACACACCAACGTCGTAGTTCAAGTAGAAAACAAATAGAGCGCAACACACCAACGTAATAGTGAAAGTAGAAAACAAATAGTGCGCAAAAAACCCACATATTAGTGAGTAGAAAACAAATAGTGCGCAAAACACCAACGTAATAGTGAAAGTAGAAAACAAATAGTGCGCAAAACACCAACGTAATAGTAAAAGTAGAAAACAAATAATGCGCAAAACATTAACGTAATAGTTAAAGTAGAAAACAAATAGTGTGCAAAACACGAACGTATTAGTAAAAGTAGAAAACAAATAGTGTGCAATACACCAACGTAGTAGTTAAAGTAGAAAACAAATAACGCGCAATACACCAACGTAATAGTTAAAGTAGAAGACAAATAGTGCGCAAAACACCAACGTTATGGTTAAAGTAGAACACAAACACTGCGCAAAACGCCAACGTAAAGGTAAAAGTAGAAAACAAATAGTGCGCAAAACACCAACGTAATAGTAAAAGTAGAAAACAAATAATGCGCAAAACATTAACGTAATAGTTAAAGTAGAAAACAAATAGTGTGCAAAACACGAACGTATTAGTAAAAGTATAAAACAAATAGCGCGCAATACATTAACGCAGTAGTTAAAGTAGAAAACAAATAGTGCCATATACACCAACGTAATAGTTAAAGTAGAAAACAAATAGTGCACAAAACACCAACGTTGTGGTTAAACTAGAAAACAATTAGTACGCAAAACACCCACGTAATAGCTAAAGTAGAAAACAAATAGTGCACAAAACACCAACGTATTAGCGAGAGTAGAAAACAAAAGGTGCGCGACACACCAACATACTAGTTAAAGTAGAAAACAAATAGTGTGCAAAACATTAACGTAATAGTTAAAGTAGAAAACAAATAGTGCGCAAAACACGAACGTACTAGTTTAAGTAGAAAACAAAGAGTGCGCAACACACCAACGTATTCGTAAAAGTAGAAAACAAATAGTGCACAATACACCAACGTAGTAGTTAAAGTAGAAAACAAATAGTGCGCAACACACCAACGTATTAGTAAAAGTATAAAACAAATAGTGCGCAAAACACCAACGTTATAGTAAAAGTAGAAAACAAATAGTGCGCAAAACACCAACGTAGTAGTTAAAGTAGAAAACAAATAGAGTGCAATACACCAACGTAGTAGTTAAAGTAGAAAACAAATAGTGCGCAACACACCAACGTATTAGTAAAAGTATAAAACAAATAGTGCGCAAAACACCAACGTTATAGTAAAAGTATAAAACAAATAGTGCGCAAAACACCAACGTAGTAGTTAAAGTAGAAAACAAATAGTGCGCAACACACCAACGTATTAGTAAAAGTATAAAACAAATAGTGCGCAAAACACCAACGTTATAGTAAAAGTATAAAACAAATAGTGCGCAAAACACCAACGTAGTAGTTAAAGTAGAAAACAAATAGCGCACAATACACCAACGTAATAGTTAAAGTAGAAGACAAATAGTGCGCAAAACACCAACGTTATGGTTAAAGTAGAACACAAACACTGCGCAAAACGCCAACGTAAAGGTAAAAGTAGAAAACAATTAGTGCGCAAAACACCAACGTCATAGTTAAAGTAGAAAACAAAAAGTGCGCAAAACACCAACGTAATAGTAAAAGTAGAAAACAAATAGTGCGCAATGCACCAACGTAGTAGCTAAAGT